TTTATAGTAATTGCAGTGTTTGTTGTTTATGCTGTTTGGATACAGTAGAATGTGCATGCCCTTATATCTAACACTTATGGATTTTCGCATGTGAGAGCTGTCGCCCTTTTTATGATTATGTTTTTTTTTTCTTTATACTAGTTTTTAATTTCCGTTTATTGTTTTTACCCCCCCCCCCCTCTTTTACAATGATATTTTCTGTATTTGCCCTGTTTTTAAAAAATGTTCATTATATGTTTTCGTCTTAACGTCCCAATTCAAAGCTATGACTTTCGGTATTCTTTAATTTTCTTCATTTTTACAAATTTACAATAAAGACATTAAAAATCGGAAAAACAACTAAATACATTTCAACGTCTAGAATAGTACCATGCCGTAAAAATCGCATTCTAAACATAAATTTAATTTCAATAAATCGAAATTCAGCTTCTAAATTCAGCATTTTCCACAATTGTGTGAAAGGGGGCAATGCCTCTGCAGCAAAATTATTCAACAAAATTACCCGTGGATATCCACAAATATATTTACAAACAGTGACAAACCTGCTCCATATTATCTTTCAATAGTACTGTTTGGTCGTAAGTGAGCGAGAGAGCATTTTTGCTCTCCTTTTCCGATTACATTAATAGGCAAACTTGAAAACTTTATACTTCTATAAAAATAAGAAGCTGTGGTATGATTGCCAATGAGACAACTCTCACTCCAGAGAGCAAATGACATAGAAGTACGGCCTTCAATAATGAGCAAAACCAATACAGCATAGTCAGCAATAAACGGCCTCGAAATGACAAATGTAAAACAATTCAAACGAGAAAACTAACGGCCTGGTTTATGTACAAAACAATGAACGAAAAACAAATACGATATACAGCTACAAACGACAACGCTGAATTACAGGCAAATTGGGACAGGCACATACAGATTGTGGCGGGGTTAAACTAATCCTCAAACCCTCCCCCTAACCTGGGACAGTGGTGTAACAGTACGGTCAGCGTAAGAACAAATATAAAAAAATCAGTTCAAAAGGGTTTATCTCATCAGATCGATACAAAGCAGAAAAACATCTAACAAAAACACATACCGGACGTGGCAGGGTATTTATACATCCCCACAACAAAAAAGACACTAAGTAGTAAATACAGATCTGAGAGTACTCTCAGTCACTGGCAGCTAATTCAAAGCCAATAACACCTAATAAAAAGATCGTGTATATAAGACTAAAACATCAATCGGTACACATCAAACACCAAATGGATTTAGCGTAAAGACGCCATTTACAGTCAGAGAAAAACATGACCTAGTGCAATGCCAAGATAAGGTATCGACAGATTGTATAACCGTGAATGTGCATATGTATATAACAACCATATCAATGAAACCAAAATAAAGTGCTCTACTACTTTATCTGTCTGTCCTTTTAAAATAGTTACCACTGTGTCCAAACTACCCTGGCAAAAAATGTTTCGACTCGATAATATCTTTATATTTCCAGTATGTTTGCACATCTATGAATGTTTTGGTGACCCTTTTGTTGATTTTTCTTGTCTATATATAGAAATAATAAGATGTTTGCCAATGAAACAACTAACCACCAAAGAACAAGTGTATAAACAACAGTCAATATGTTATTTATTATTTCTTAAGAAGTGTTAGGGAAGAAGATGGTAATATAGACTTTCAATGTGATCTTCAATAAGGTTAAATATAATATAATCTCCAGTATTTACGAGGAATCCTAGTGCATGGTCCTAAAATGATAATTTTAATAAGTCTGGAAAAATTAAAAGCTTCGATTAACAAAAAAATAACCAATTTGAACCAATAGAAGTGTGCAAGATCAAAAGAAAGAAAAAAGAAAATTAGCATCCATTCGGACATTTTTTTGAAATTTGAATTTTTCGACATTTCAAAATGTTAAAATTTGACTTTGAATGAAATGTCAATGTTATTTTTTATATTTTCTATACTTCTAATAATTCAGTAAGCTTTGCTTCTTTTCAATTTTCTTGGAGTTCAGTTTTTTTGTTATACTTTATTTTGCCAGTTCGGAACTAGGAATATTTCTGCAAAAACGTTCACTACGGGAACTAGCACTAGTACCGCATTTAAATGAAGTTTTAAATTTTTTTGGTTGTTTCAGAGAAGATGAAACTGTATCAAGTGATCGGATGTGACAAACCCCGTATTATTGAAGAAGAAAATTCTTTGTAAATTGTTAAACAGTTGGAATGAAATCCACACAATTATTGAACTGATTAGTACATTTTTAGTCTTATTCAAGTATTGAATCTCTGCATGACTATTGAGTATATGGGGTGGATTATGCCTTCATGAAATATTCAGACAACGTTTAAAAATATCACGGTATCTAACGTGATTGAAAAAATGAAGTTTCAGTAATTTAACATCGACATTAAATAATTTGTACGTCACTGCATGGGTGCTGTCTGTTGTGCTATTTGCCCACAATCTAATTAAAATATATAGTTCTCTGATTTGGCTATACTTTATACTCGTATGAAACATAGCGAAATCAGAGAACTATATTTTAATTAGATTGATTTGCCCAGTACCCAGTGCTTTGATAATGGCATCATTTAAAATTTCAAAACTACGTTGTATATATATATAATTGTACAGAAACTAAGTTGCAAAATCCTCAGGCAAAGATGACCTCAGACTGTTACAATTTTATATTCAACGTAAAAATAAGCAAATGCGATATATTATTATCCCTTATAGGACAGAGATCTGAAAACAGAAACGCTAAAAACAGACGCAATAATACAATACTCATATTAACGAAGTTCACATCACAATTATATGTATCAAATGATTAGCGTAAAGAGCTGTGAATTCCGAACTGATAAATTTTAATGGCCTAATCCTCTACGATAACACTCCCAAGGTTATCGTCAAAATGTTATATGTCTCAATTTAGTTACACTGGTCTCGGTAGTATTGTGTTACATTGTATTCTACTTTTCCATTAGTTAATTAGTTAATGTCATGTATTTAATTACCAGTATAGCAAAAACAAAAAGCCTACAGAAGTATTTTAACATAAAAAATGTACTGTCAGAATGAATGATTTTTATGGTCAAATAATTAAGATTATTCTAAACGTAGAAAATTTGTGTCTTGATGAATTACACAGATTAAAATACCGATTCTGCGGAAAAAACGTAGTAATCTCAAAATTTAGTTTTTATGGATACCAGTGGTACATTTCAACATGATTTCCCACTTGTGTGAAAATGAAACCTTTTTCATAACAATAATAAAGGATGATTCTAATTTCGGGCTATAAAACTACTCCTTCAGTGTCATATTAAGGTCCAAAATTTGTAGAATAGTTGCTTTTTTGTGCATCTCCTAAATAGTGTCGAGTATCGCAAAAGGTATTTGTGAACCGTACATTTTTCAGACACAATGAGATTTGTCATGTTCCGGCGTCAAACTTCAACATCAGACATTTTAAAATTTTTGGTACGCTTCAGAATTCAGGGGGGGGGGGGGGGAGGTGTTAATTTTATTGCACAATCACTTTCATATTTGAAAAAAAATCGAAACCAAACTCCTAATAACAACAGGCCGCAAACATAAGAGAATAGGAAATTATACATAAAAATTAAGATAAAATATTATTATGAGTATATATCTATTTCTTCAGAGGAGTCGAGTATACACACACCTCCATTAAATAAATCAATAATGACACAGTGCTTTTATTGCTGTTCCTCATCTATGAATATATGAATTTCATGTCTTAAAAATTGTCTCAAGATTTATAAAGACTTAAAACGGACAACTGCTATTAATATTGAACATGTTGCTCATAGTATAAATGAAAATGATAAATAATGCTAATACTATGATGATGTGTGTGTAGAATATAGATTGCGGTGTTGAATTTAACTGCTGTATGTTCGTGATGCTCAATCTTGAGATTTCTGTGTTGTGTGGAGGGGCTGATCATTTGTGTCGAATATTTCTCTTGGTTGCTATCATTACACCTTTCCTTTAGAGTACACATTTGGCAGTCAATGATTGTCCAAGTGTCTATGAAAAATTATACTATGATAAAAACAGACGTAAAGTAAACAAACTGGGTTTTTCACATTGTTGAAGGCCGTACGGAGACCTGTAGTTGTTTTAAAACTTCTATATCATTTGGTCTCTGGTGGAGAGTTGTTTCATCTGCAATCATACCAAATTTTCTTTTTTTATAATGTCGTAAATAAATGTATGAACAAAAGGCGTTATGTTCGGTTTACGTCATTGAGACAGCAACTCCCCGACAAAAAAAAACTAAAAAAAAAAGACATAAAGAGGACAATATACACACTTTTCAACATTATGGCAAAGTCTAAATTGCCGACACTACACAAGTTGTGAATAATTAAGCAGAAACATATACATTTTGTATTGCATAGAAATCTATTAGTCTTTAGAAACAAATGCTATGCATTACGCAACAACTTGACAGATTTAAAGGAATTCGATTAGTGTATTAAAACCTATATTAAATTGGAATTTAAAAAAAAAAAACTGTAAAACTACAAAAGAAAGACAAACTGTAGTTTCTCCTTAGCATTGCGGATATAAAGAAATACCACTGATTAGGTAGAAGTTATAGTCAGTATTAGAGGGCATTATTCGAAGCAAAGAAAGTCTATATGAAATATGTATATCATTTCTATACTTTTTGGCGCATGAATCAATATAAGATTTCTGTTAGCATCTCTTAAAAAAAGTAACCACAGCGCAATATTTCATGTCATATGTGTACAATAATTATGTCTATTTATACGTTTTTGGCCCATATAATATAAAATTCATCACATTTCCGTTATCTTCTCTTTGAGAAAGTTAACAGGGAAACAAACAAAGAAGATCTATTTAGAGAATGGACAAGTGATGTAAGATGCTACAGAATAACTTTTTATTAAAAAATTTAAAAAAATTAAAAAACTGCATCAACGACATTTGTCCCATAAATCACAATGGAAAAGTTGCACACTTTTAATTTGGAATGTAAAATGTTTGGGAACATACACTAGCATTTCTTCCGTCAATGGTACGAGTGAGGTGTCCTTGACAATGATCCTCTCCACTTATAAGTCTTATCACATTCAGGACAAGCAAATATTTTCTCCAGATGACAAGTCTGTATATGGTCATACAGCATACTATCGTTTCCGAATTCTCTTTCACATTTTGGACATTTGCCAAAATCCCCAATACAAATCTGAACATGTCGATTAAACATGTAACGAGAGGAAAACTGTTTGTTACACTTACCGCAACAAAATGGCCTTTTCTTGCGATGTTTATTGATATGATATTCAAAATATGTAAATCGGTCATGAGAGTAAGAACAATTGGTGAACGGACACTTAAACAATCTGTCTTTACGATCTCTATGGGAGTCAACGTGTCGTTTTAATTCAAATCTATTCGGATAAGCTCCTCCACAAATATCGCAATAAAATCGTGAATGGAAATTAAGTATGTGTTGGTTATACTCTTTGTCTGTATTAAATATCTGCATACACTTCAAACAACAGTTCTGCGTACCATGTTTTCCCATTACATGTTTTATTAGGTAGGCTCTCCGAACGTAGCACATATTGCACTGAATACATTTGAATTTCTTACTCTGAGCTCGAGTATGCGTTATTTTAGCCGAAGGTACTGGCGCCGGTGTAGAATTTATTGTTGCTGAAGTAGCAGGTTTTGAGCTATGTGACTGTTCGTTAATAATTGGTGTATTACGTTGTAGCGGAATTTTCTGTGACGTAGCTCTAAAAGTGTCGCCTGGTGGAGTATCTTTTGATGTATGCGCAATTTCTTGTACCTTGATTGTGTTACTTTTAAGAACATCGCTAGAAACTCTCGAAGCTTGAGGATCGTTTGCCGGTTTTCTTACGTTTGGTAGAAACAACTGTGGCGTTATTGTCGAAGGACGGGAATCATCTTCACGTTCTGTGATTGGTGTCAGTGACATTTCAAAATGAAACTATTCATCATGTACATTTGTATTCAAGAAATCTGTACAGACTGTTACTGACAGGTTAATCTGAATATAAAAAAAAAGAAAAGAAAAGAAAAATTGATCGTTGATGGATGCTGTCTGATATCATTATTTTCGATTATTTTTGTAGTTTAAATCAGGTCGTTGGTTTTCTCTTTGAATTTTTGCACATTTTGCCATCCCGGGGGCATTTTTCGTTATTTATACGGTATTAGTATTGCTCATTATTGAAGGTCGTAGGATGTAGAATGGCTGTTTCATTGGTGATTATACCACTTCTTCTTATTTTCATATTTGATAATCAAAGTCTAAAAGAAAACGCCGAATATCTTTCCATCTTTTTGAAAGATTGTAATCTGGATAACGTCAAGCAACCTTATTTCAAATTGAAGCAAGGACTTAATTGGATATGTATGCATAAAAGATATGTAAATGTTTTCTTCCAATCATGCCTGGACTTCTCCCGTCCGGCAGTAAAACCCTTCAGGATCTGCTTATCCTACCAGAGCACATGAGATAACACCCGTTTTTTAAGGTTCGTGTTGCTTATTCTTTTCTATTCTATATTGTGTTTTGCGTACTGTTATTTGTCTTTTGTAGTTTTTTTTTTGTTTTTTTGCCATGGCATTGTCAGTTTGTTTTTTGCCATGGCATTGTCAGTTTGTTTTTTGCCATGGCATTGTCAGTTTGTTTTTTGCCATGGCATTTTCAGTTTGTTTTCGACTTACGAGTTTGAATATCCCTTTGGTTTCTTTCTCTTCTCTTTTGTAGTAGTCCAGAGATGATTGGAATAACGAATATGTATGTATGTATACTGGTGTCCTTTTAGCTATGTGAGGTGTATAAGTTCGCAGCCACGTCCGGTCGAGATGGAAACGTTAAATCCAATGCTCCGTGTAGGGAGACTGCCATGCATGCTTTCTGCACCTTTAAGAATCCTCATAACAGATCTCTTGAGGGGCCGTAAGTGACCTGTTGCAATTACGGAAAATGTCTGTCCCTATCCAACATACTCTTCATATTTAACAAGCCCTGCATGCCGATCGCTCCTACCTGGTAGAACTACACATTGTACTAATTGTTCTCTTTTTGAATATGTATGAAATATTTGCCACAGGACGTTCAGCAACCAACAATCAATCTATCAATTTTTCTTTCAATTTTACTTACTGCTAATAGGCAATTTCGCTTTTTTATTTAGTAATTAATGCATCATACCACACCATATATATAATTACCAATTTTGTTTGTGTTTGTTTCGGATGCATCAAAGTTATTAATATAAGAATAAGGAGATGTGGTATGAGGGGCAATGAGCCAACTATCCACCAGAGTTAAAATGAAGTGGTAGTAAGCAGTTATAGGCCATGCACCTTACAGCCTTCGACAATAAGAAAACCCCACCGTATAGTCGGCTATAAAGGCACCGACATGAAAAATATGAAACAATTCAAATGAAAAAAAAATTACGAAAATCAAATATGACAAACATGAGTGGTCGTAGGATAACTGTTGGCGCCTGTTAAAACGTTTAAACTCGCTGCATTTGTATGCACCTGTCCTAAGTCAGGAGCCTGTTGTTCAGTGGTTGTCGTTTGTTGGTGTGGTCCATAAGTGTTTCTCGTTTCTCGTTTTTTATATAGATTAGACCGCTGAATTTCCTGTTTGAATTGTTTTACACAAGTCTTTTTGGGGTCCTTTATAGCTTGCTGTTCGGTGTGAGCCAAGGCTCCGTGTTGAAGGCCGTACTTTGATCTATAATTGTTTACTTTTTACACATGGTGACTTGGATGGAGAGTTGTCTCATTGGCACTCATACTACATCTTATTTATATGAACCAATGACAGGTTATTTTTATTTTCCACGGGGAATTCTTTTCTGCAGAAAGATATGTTCGGGCGTGGTACCTGATCCTTTAAAAACTCTGGTATAACTGAAGAATTATTTTGGTAGAATGATAATTTTTATTTAGACATTAGAACTCATTTTAGAAAACAATCAAATGATAACCCAATTAAAGAGGTGTGTATTTTATATAAATGAATGTCACTGAATGCTTTATTTATTTAATACTTTTTGTTATCCATGTTTAAATATTTTCATTAATCAATATGTATGAGTCAAATCTATGTCCAGCCCAGCCTCAAAGCACCCCCCCCCCCCCCCTTTTTTTTTGTCATCAGATATATGCCCTGTGACGTCATGACACTCAAATATGTTGCCCTATGTTTTGGTGTTCCTTACTCTTTGGCAAAACAAATGTAAATGAGAGTATACTGATAAATTTTAGAATACTAGGCTTTAAATGTCTATTATCGACTTTTTTAATGTAACAGTAGAAAGCAATCGGTCTAGATTTTTTATTAAAAAAGCAAATTTTGAGAATGCCATTTATTTATGAGACTTTTCGTTTAATTGAAGAAAATTATCTTTTTTCACGACTGTTTTTATAAGTTTATACAGTACAGAATAATATTTTGATTGTTTCTGAGACTACTGTAACAAATATATGTGTTATAGTAGTCTCAGTTTGATTTTTTCTTTTCAAGTAAAGTTTAGCTTTACAAGGGGAATAACTCAGTTCATTTAATATTATAAAGAATGTACATTATTTTTTTTTAATTTCGTAATATAGCAAGAAAAAAGTACGGTGTAGGCCTATCCATTTTTTCTTTTTACTTGATTCATTTTTTTATAAGATATCGCGGTAACTTTGATCAACTTTATATTCTGTAATTTTGTTTTCTATAAATAATAAATGCCTTTACCTTGCATAATCCTTACAAAGTGTGTTATTTTGGGAAATATTAATGTTATCAATTTGTAAAGAGGTCGAGGCACAAGTGTAATCGTTCTATACATACCTATCAAATCTCTAAAACACCCACTGGTGCCTCTTGAGAATGGTTGTCATTAGTTACAAGTCAACGAGTTCAACGGAAGTTGATAAAATTTCACATCCGGTAAATAGCATTGTGGGATAGAATTCCGTACGCTAGATCTCTGAAATTCACCAACATTCAGAAGAATAATTTGTTTTTGACATATTTCAATAACAGATGGAATAAGGAAATCGTTCAACACCTTTTGAGCAAAGTTATCACTTGAAAACAACCGACAATATGTCGTTAGACCCGAAAATCGTGAAAAAGACCCAAGATTCGTTGGGGAAAATAATCAAGAAACCACCGCTTACAGACAAACTGTTAGGAAAACCCCCATTTAGATTTCTGCATGATATAATGACATCGGTAAGAAATAAATGCTTAACAGAACAGGGATGATTAAGGGTAAAATTATATATTTGTGGTAGTAAATTATACACGTACGTGAGCAGTCTACCAGGACTATAGTCTATACATGTACCTGACCTTTTGGCTATTTGAGAATTACACATACATGCTGACATCTACACACAACAATGACTGTTACTTTTTAATTTAGACAATTTATCTTATGATGCCAAACTTTTCAGTTAACCTATATGATGCTTGGTGGACAAGGTTTTTATAGACCAATGTTGAGTTCTTTTTTTATGAATGAGTTACCCTGTCCAGTTGAATTCAATTTTCAATTCAAAGTTTTATTTAATGTGGATGTTCAGTAAATCAACTACAGAAACACAAGCAATAGTGAGCTTTTCAAATCGACTAAATAACAATATATAAACACACACATACAAAGTCAATACACCTAATCGCTATTTATTCCATTCCGGATAAGTTCTAAAATTACACAACTTTTTCATCCAGTTGACGCTATCTGGGACCCTGTTTAAACAATGCACCATGCATGATACTTTTTAATGAGACCTGTTTAAAACATCGTAAATACTTCAAACACAATATTTTTTTTGACTATAATTTGAGTTTGGAAAAAGTGGATCATAATCTATTAAAGATTCCTATTGATCGCTTTCTAAATTTTTCCCTCCCTCAGCTCGTTACTGATGACCTTTGTTTGCGGCCTGTTGACCCAAACAGGAAGTTGTCTAAATGACTGTTTTTTCCGGATTGGACTAAATAGCGATAAGGTGTATCAGCATAAATGACATCATTGAACAATCAACTTTTTCTCAAATTCTGTGACATAATAACGAAAGCATTGTGACATCAGAAATATGGTTTAACTGGTGAGAATGTAGGGATGTGAATGTCTTCTATTGCTGACAAGAATGTAAATTAAAGCTGAATCATGCATATACACTTTAAATGCCTAATACTAAGAATCTCTCCCATATTGTCAGTCAAAGCAAGGGAGTAATTCTCCAACAGAGTTCTCTCTAAGACTATCTTAGTCTTTAACTCTTAGATACTCGGGTTGGGAACAATATTTCCGAAAATAAGATATACATTCCTAAATATCAATGTCATTTATAAGTACTGTACATGTTCTAATATTCAGGCTTTGCTCAGAAATACTTGTAAGGCCAAAAAAGGTTACTGTTTTGGGTATCAGTGCTTGATTTAATCTGTTTTCACTGACATTTTACAGTCGAGTACTAAAAATCATTGGTTGCTTCCCACTAGTTGACAGTACATGTATATAGAATAATTCTGAAAAATCATTATATATTTCTACATTGTATCAGTGTTACTTTGTATTTATAGTTGCCTGATGCATATGATAAGATGAATAAAATGGTAAAACATGTAACAAAAAAAATAAAGTTATTTGTTATATATATTACAGGTTATCAAAACAACAGGCTTCATGAAAGGACTGTTCACAGAGGGGGAGATGAACTCTGAGAATGTTAAGGTAAGTAATGAACTAAAAATGTTTATGTTTACAATCATGACAATTGATGAATTTGAATTTGGGATCAGAAGATTGAAATGCAGGAACAAGCATAACATGCATAATTCAAAACTTCTTTGATTCTGAATTGATTTAAATGGCACACTGTGTCTTAATTAAGTCACTAGCCTGATGCCAGAGATTTAGTAAAAGTTTATTAGGGCTAGTAAAAATTTACAGAAATTTTGTTTGAACATATTGTAAAAACTTATCATTTTGGTTGTTCAGGCTACATTTTGTGTAGAAGCTGAATTTTTTTTTGGCACAAACTGCAATGGTATACAACATTTTCATCAAACTACAACTTACAACAAATACCTGAATACCAGATTCGTTTTTTCAATAGAAATCAATTAGCTTCATACAATACGAATACGAATACGAATTTGTTTATTATCATGATTATAGTGACATTGTGTATATATACAGTATAATAATAATATTTGTCAATACAATGTGTGTACACCCGGCCCATTGGACCTATAAGTCACTTAAAAAATATAAATCTAAAAAAACATTTCATAGTAGAGTCCTGTAGTTCAATTATTTACATAAATGAATTGTCTGCGTTTTTATTTCTCAATTTTATTGTAAAATATATTTAGCTGTTCTTCTTGGAAAATAAGTTAGAGATTGTATTAATTGTTCACAGTGTGGCAGTGATAAAAATGTTTCTTTGCCTGGTATGGTTGAGTAAAGTTCATTTCGAAGTTCATTATATAGATCACAGTTAATAAGGAAATGAATTTCACTTTCAATTTCATTTTTGCTACACATTTTACAAAGTCTGCTGTCCTCAGGTTCGCCAATAAACCGTCCTGTTTCAATTCTTAGAGGTAGAATTCCGCATCTAAATTGAGCCAACGTCGACCGTTCGTTGCGTTGTAGGTTAAGGTTCATGTATGCTTCAGCAGAGAAATTATTTTTGAAAGTTTTGTATGTTCGCAGTTTTGGATATTTATTTAAGTTTGTAAACCAATCAAGACAATACATGTGTACATGTACATGTTTGCAGTGTAATATAAAAAAAAAGGGTAAACAAAGTAACACCTGAGAATGTTACAAAATCGTATTGTTTCATACATTACTCATACTTAAATGATTTAGACAGCAAAAACAAATCAGGTGGTCCCTTAAATGTTCATAGTGTTAAAACAATAAATGTTAACAGCAATAAAATATATATATATTTTTAAACAAAATTTTGTAACAGATTTCTAAGAAATTGCAATTGAATGTAAAAATGCATTTTACATGCATTCTATACATTTATAGACCTATATGCACATCATTTGTACATGTACATGTGAAATACATGCATATCACAAATCTTTTGGAAATATAAATGGTACATATTTCATAATGCTTCTACAAACTATTGCAGGACAGAGATAGTAAAGTTGCATTTCTACAGAAGGCTGTAGATATGGTCGGTATGTATATATTTATTTTCTCTGTGTTAGGGCCATTTTATGTACTGGTATTATTAAAAAAACATTGGTCCTTCATTCGCAAAAAAACACTTTAGAATCTATAAAAACATGGAAATGGCTGTTATAATAAACTGAAGAAAATGTTTTTGTCATAGTTTTGGCATTCTACAATCATTTGACAATGCACCATGTGATATATGTCAGCATGGAAATTAGATGTTAATGCAATATGATTGCCCACAAGACAACTATCCAACAAAGACCAAAGAACAAGGATGTGAAAAATTACAGGTCATCATATGGCCTTCAACAATGAGCAAAACCCATAATGCATAGTATGTTAATTAAGCTCTTAGAGTCTTTACATGTAAGGTCCTAGGGTGACAAAAAGCGAAACAATTCAAAAGAGAAAATATAAGGCTTGATTTTTGATTAAACAATTAACAAAAAAACAATTATGGCAGACAGGAACCAACAACAACCACAGAATTACAATGTACAACCTCCAGATTTGGGACAGGCACACAAAGAAGTTGAGGTTTAACATGTCGGTGAGCACACAACCTTCCCCTAATATGGGACAGTGGTGAAGCAGCACAACATAAAGTATAAAAATCACTTGAAAAATGCTTGACTCATCAGATCTGTACTACACACAAAAGGCCAGTGAATGATAAAATTTGAAGCAGTAAAAAAGAGAAAACCCAAGCTGTATGGAATACAGCAACCAACAACAACCTCTGGTTGTAGGCTCCAGGCTTGGGACAGGCACATAAAGAATGAGATGGTTTAAACATATTTGAGAGACCTCAACCCTCCTCTTACCTGGGACAGAATTGTAACAGCATATCATAAAAAAAATTTATAAAAATGAGTTGAAGAAAGTTTGACTCATCAGTTCTAAGCACAACACGACCAAAAGACACAAAGCACTAAATTAAGAGTGGTTATTAGGAGACTTGATGTTTGCACACTGTCGCACAGCGATTGGGAATATACAATGACTGGTTTATAGATAAGAACTACATTTGTACATGTGAATGACCTTTGTAAAGGAAATAAAAAATATATACAAAATGATTACTGTAAATTCAGAAATTATTGCATGCATTTATTATTGCGATTTTTCATGAATGGACAAAATTGCGAGTTTAATTATTGCGATTACAAAAAAATCTGCATAAAGACCTATGTTTCAGTTATCCGAATGCGAGTTCTTATTGTTGGGATACTCAACCAGTCACATCATTCGCATTAATAAAAACCTCGCAATAATTTCTGAATTTACAGTATATGAAAATGTTTTGTATAACATAGAATTTTTCTTGCAGAGGCACATAGATGGCTAACTAAAATTCCATCTAGTTTATGAATAAAACAGACCCTTTTGTGGTACTCTCCCCCCCCCCCCCCCCCCAAAAAAAAAAATAAATAAATAAAATAAAATAAATTATTAGACCAAAAGCACTTGTTGGAAAAATGAAGTTATCTATTCTAAATACTTTTGTTTTTTTATTTACAGCTATAGCAACTAAAAAGTCTTTGTCAGTAAAACCAGCTAAGATAGTAGCAGGACATGAACCAGAGAAGACAAATGAATTTCTGCAACTTTTGGCATCAGCTATAAATGCAAATGTAAGTGATGTGGATTTATTTTTATGCCCCTGTTGCATTGGAGGGGGCATGAAGTGTTACTCCCGTCTGTACGTACGTCCCAAAATTTGTTTCCGTTCTCTAACTGAAGTTTTGTTTTATGAATTTTGATTAAACAATTAATTTAAACAAAGATGAAATTGGCTTCAATGTGCAAGTCTTTGAAGTATTAATTATCACCTTATTGAACTAATAATTGTTTAATCAGCAATACTACAGTAATGAATTTTACCATTTGAAAACAATTAGGAGGATATGATTAGAAAAACAAAAAATGAGAAATCATAATGTTCCAAAATGTCAACTCCTTTCAAATGTCTTTAGGTTAATAGTACACTGCTCCAGTGGGTTACAAAACCCAACACAGAAAATGACAATGACTTGATTATTGGCCTACATGTTCTATAGCATCACCTGTTAAGAAATCTTCACATCACCAGTGTGGTGTTGACCGGGAACTTGACCCTTCATGGAATTTATTTCGGTACTTATTTTTGCTTGATTATCTAAATTTACAATGGAGATAAAAAATGATTCTTCATCAATTTTCAAACAATAACATTTACAAATAAATGGGTATTTTCCATCAGGACAACATTACAAGCATGACAAGAGCAACATCAGCAGCATATTGTATAAAAACATCATAACAAACCCATTACAAACGAACAGCGCACCACAACAAAGTAACTAAGAATAGTCGAAAATCGTGCACTAACCACAGCGCTATCAGAAAATCCTAGGGAGAACTACAAAAAAAAAATCAAAGTACCAAAAATTCATATCCCAGTCAATTTTATTTACTGAAAACAAAATTAACTTCCATCTGTTTTTTTGTTGTTGTCTAGTTCCAAACAGCTTCATAGATGTTCATTTTTAAAAATGTATAAAAGAATATTTTTTTTCTAAATATGAAATATTACTTTTATCAGTGCTTTAAATAATTTTTCATTAATGGCTTAAAATGCTTAGTATAAGAACATTTTCCATATTTCACATACAGTATTTTTGAATGAAAGTAGATGTGGGGTAAAGACCAATGATACAGCATCCCATCAATCAGTGATTTTGCTAGCGCTCGTCACTTTCGTAATTTACGAAACTGTTTTCAAAATGACGAAAGTATTTCAAATCAATTTCGTCACTTAAATTTGGAAAGTGTAAAAATATTTTCGCATGAAAATGCTATAATTCTACCTGTCTACATGTTTCTGACAAGTTTATGACCCTCAGCTAATTAACATTTACAACAGGTGTTATAAAGTTGTGATTACAGCTAATCCGCTTATCGCCATCGGATGGGTCACTAATCCGGTTAATTATTTTCCCCAGTAAAGTTAGTCAGTCTGCATTTTAATTTCAATATTTCTCAAGGCCAACGACCACAATTTGCAGTTCGTTTGTCGTAGTTTCGTCATTTGTACAAAATTGATTTCCCCCGGACAGTTCGCTTTTTAATTTCAATATTTTTAAAACGATCATAATTTGCAGTTCGTTTGTCGTAGTTTCGTCAAATGATCGTATTTTCGTCATTTTTGATATAAAACGTTCAATTTCGATTTAAAAGATAGAACTTTATTCAAAACGTTCAGAAATGTTTTCACGTTAAAAACTTCCATCATCATCAACGAGTCAAACAGGTGCTTCTTTTACGATATACTGCGCATGCGTGAAAGTATTCCTATAGACACTAAAACGTAAAATACGAAATTAATTTAGTGCCAAAATAAATGAGAGAGACAAATATAGTTCTTACTAAGCAAATTGAAATAAAAAAATGATAATTTCCTGCCTTTTTTAAAACACGAACCAATCCGCAGATGAATCCGGATTCATTCTGAATTTATTATCTACTTGTCACTTCCCGTTTACATTTCATTTGAAAATCGAAAGTAAACGTGATCAATTCTCGATTAATTTACAATTTACAGTTATTGGAATCGTTCCATGTGAATTTGTACAAATCCTTGGTTCCAACTTTATAGAAATTAATTCAAAATATCGATTTAAACGTTTTATAAGGATAATGATTATGCAGTGTAATAGTCAAAGTTCAACAAGTTCATTTAAAAAAGGAACCCAACTTTTGTTGATCAGGAATGTCCCCTGAAACTAATTGAAGTATAATTTTCAACTAGATTTTCAGATCTTATATCCTAATCTTCATATTTTAGGGACACATCAGTCAAATGATGCAATTACTGCCTACTAAATTGATGTCTTAATTAGTCCTTCAAAGTCTGACAAAGATGTATAGCTAGTAATATGAATACATCCTTGGTCCCTTGCTGTTACCCAAAATAATGTTGATTTTCATCTCGCGCAAAAGTGACTAAAGCCCTCAAAATCCTAGCTTAAACCCTGCATCAATACATGGGCATGTCACAGATAGTTCTATTCAGTATTGAGACTAGAAGTTTGAGTAAAATGATATTTGTGGTAAAGTCAACAGCAACCCAACAACACATTCAAACAGGACTTGTCTCCTGTAAAACCATGAATAGAAATTTTGAGACAAATAGAAATTGTTTTTAAATTTATGTAAGCAAAATATGTTTTATATATAATAATTGTGCAGTTTCTTCATGAATGGTTTGATAAAATAGAAATAATATGAATCGTCTTGATTTAATTGATTAAAAAGAATTATTTAAAGATAAGTAAAACTTTGGTACTATTTTATAGGCTGATAATGGAGCAATTGTTGACAAAGTTTTAAACAAAGCAGGAGATACTGCGGAAGAACCAAAGAAAGAAAAACCGAGAGAAGAAAAAAAGAGAGAGGTTGGTTATTGTGCATTGTAGATGTACAGTGGTGTCAGAAATAAGACTTTTTATTGATTTTACTGGTTTTTATGCCTCGCCAAGCAGAGGGGGCATTAAGTGTTACCCTTGTCCTTCTGTACATCCGCCCGTACGTTTTGGAATTGGTTTCCTTTCTCTAACTTTAGTTTGCCTCAACCAAATATTATGAAACTTATACACCATGCTTATTACTTTAAAACACAGATCAAGTTTAAATTTAGGTGGTGTCACTTTTACCGTTCTAGAGTTATGCCCCTTTACAAATGGAAAAATTGCTGAATTTTTCGTTTTTGTCTCCAACTGAAGTTTGCCTCAACCAAATGTTATGAACTTATAGGCAATGCTTATTACCACAAAACTCAGATCAAGTTCAAATTTGGGTGGTGTCACCTTTACCGTTCTTGAGTTATGTCTCTTATAACGTTATATGCAAGCGGGGTCATCATCTGTGTCCCATGGACACATTCTCCATTTAGTTTAATTTATGATAATATTAACTCCTACATTTGTCTTATATACATGTAACTTAGAGTAAAATTCTGGGCTAATATGCATAAAACCACTTAAGTAAAGATATCCAATTGTAGTACTAATTTATCGTAGGACATTTATAAAAATCCATCCGTTCGGGACAAATCTTTACTGAAGTAGTTTTATGCAAATCAGCCCAGTTTCCTTGATCCTTGAGATAGTCTAGATCTACTAATTATGTAAGAGGCTTTAATCAACACAGAGTTGACTGAACTCATAATATTCAAATTATTGTGAAATGACAAATGTTCTATTTAATTAAATTACAAATATTTGAAGTTGATTTGGTGTTTGATTAAACAGGATGACAACATTAATAGCCGCTATAAAGATGACTGTTTGAGGATTGTTATTAGGTGTGAACAAAGACTGACCTAGTACACATTTTTGTTTAGGGGCCAGCTGAAGCCTGCCTTAGGGTGTGGGATTTTCTCGCTGTGTTGAAGACCCATTGGTGGCCTTGAGCTGTTTTCTGTTCTTAGGACGGGTTGTTGTTTCTTTGACACATTCCCTGTTTCCATTCTCAATTATAAAAAAAAAATGACAGAAACGTACCGTATTCAAAAGTTGTTGTGTTTGGTATCAACAAGGAAAGTTAGCTTAGTAAAGTCAAACGATTCAGATGCATTTGGCATTCAACCCACATAAAGAAACTTTCTTCTAAATGCTTATATATATGAAATGATTGCAATACACATATTAGCATCCCACCTTAAAGTCTAACAGAGTGTCTGAGGTCTCTGGCATGGGTACACAAAGATAATATTGCTAAGTTGTCTTTTCACAATTGTTGTTTACCAAGTAAATTGTACCTCTAATCTATCTCTTATCCACCTTTTTAAAAAAAATGGTAGAGCCGGGAAAAAGATGAAAAAAGAAGCAAAGATGACAGAAAAGAAAAAGATGAAAGAAGAGAAAAGGATGAGAGAAAAGATAAAGACAGACGAGACAGAGATAGATCAAGAGACAAAGATGAAAAGAGAGAGAAAAGTAGGGACAGAGATAGGGAAGACAGACGCAGAGACCGCGAAGATAGACACAAAGATAAGGATGACAAACATAGAGACAGAGAGAAAAGACATAGGGATAAAGATGAAGAAAAAGAAAGAAGACGGAAGGTAAATAATTTTTCCTTAGGAATTAATATACTTGAAAAATAATAAGGTTCCATGCTTTTAAATGTTATGTGCTGTAAAATCTGTCTAAACAGAACCCCTATTAGATAAATTTTTTTCATATTGAGACAGTTGTTATGTTTATAGAGGCTTGATATTGATGAATATATTCACACACAACAGTCCAGTTTACACAGATTTAAATTTAGACAGATTTCATTATATTTGATATACCTGTGTTTTGCAGAATTGTGTGTTGAGTATTATATTCTCTTAAAGCCAAATTTAAAGAAAAACCCCATTTAGCAGGATGTGTCTGTTTCAATAATTGATGAGCTAGACTGACAGTTTAGTTCATTTTTATTTGTATTTGACCAGTTGAAAGTTTTTGTTTTTAGAATTTTTCCTTCATCTTTTTCTTACCATCATGTAAATATTCCTAAATAGCGAGCTCCTATCAAAAAAGTGGACATATTTGCTGAGTTTCTGGCTGCTGATGATGATGATGGAAATACATCCTGTTCTAGCACTGATCTTATAGAAGGTTTTGCTGAAGATGTCAACAAGAAATCAGATACGTCAGGTCCAGGGGAGAGTAACAGTGGGGATCGAGTTGATAATCAAAAGTCCTCCCGTGCCAAACGTCCCAGAGCTGCCAAACCAAGATCAAAAGGAAAGACAGATTTAGATAAGGAAAACTCTGAAAAAATGTCTGAATCTGCTGAAAATGAGGTTGCTTCAGCTTCAAAGGGTCCTAAACAAAAGAAACGAAAATCAGGTACAAAAAGCAGAATGTCTATGAGGGATCAGGAATCAGAGCCAAGTACAAGTAGTCCCAAAAAAAAGCCTTCGAAAATCCCAGTGAAATTGGACAAAGAAGGTAATAGAAGTCCACCAAAATCAAGAAATGGGAGACACAGAAGTAGTAGCGATAAATTGGCTCTACAGCATTACCCAAGCTCTCCGTCTAAAGGGAAAATTTCAAGAAGGAAATCAAAAGATTTGCATATGGAAGATTCATGGTCTAATGCTGAAAATAATGAAAGTGGTACAAGTCTTAATCAAACTGTAGTGAGTTCAGAAAGTTCTGTTCTCAAGTTAGTTTGTTAATGTTCAGTTTTTAAGTTAGTTGTTTTTCTTGTTTGAATTTGTGTTGAAAATATTCTTAGAATTTGATTGCGGTACCAATATTTAGAAATGACTTATGGAAATAGTTAAATACAAGATAAATGTCATTAAAACAGGAAATTTGTACAGTTTTACTGGCAAAGGAATTGTATTCACAGAAAATCAATTCCTACAACCACACTAATCATGTGTGAATAAACTACCACTTACCAGTTTAGTTTTTTATTAACTTGATATAATGCCACTAAGTGTACCAGTAGAATTTGTCACTCTTGGAGTGAGAACTACATTGTATTCATCTTGTCTGTGCATTTGTCCATTCATCCAACACATTTTTGTCACACTTTTCTCGGCTTCTACAAAGCAGAATTACTTCATGTTTTGTCATTTACTTCATATCCAATCATTCACCAGTAGAACTTTTATATACTTCTTGATGCTGAAGAGTTGATACACCTTGCTATATTTGTGGTAAAATAATTCTCCTACTTGAAAATTGGCATCTCAGTTGATAGAATTTTACATATAGTTTTTTTCTGAGGTAACTTTTTGTGAAATATCATTTTCATGATCATACATGATTTAAATGAAGATTTTAAAATGCCATATACACTAGAACATTCATGCTCCAGCTTAAAGTGAACTATGAAATCAGTTACATGTATTTACTTTATCCTATCAACTGTGAACAGAGAGATACTTGATAAAAAATCATTGAGAGTCACACTCCTTTACCATGATTACAATTTACATGTATCATGTGTATTTACTTTATCCTATCAGCTGTGAACAGAGAGATACTTGATAACAAATCATTGAGAGTCACACTCCTTTACCATGATTACATGTATTTACTTTATCCATCAACTGTGAACAGAGTGATACTTGATAACAAATCATCCAGAGTCACACTCCTTTACCATGATTACATGTATTTACTTTATCCTATCAACTGTAAGCAGAGTGATACTTGATAACAAATCATCCAGAGTCACACTCCTTTACTATGATTACATGTATTTACTTTATCATATCAACTGAGAACAGAGTGATACTTGATAACAAATCATCCAGAGTCACACTCATTTACCGTGATTTTAACCTGAATTACTTTCATTTTTGTAGAACATGCAACATTTATGTTGTGAAAGCGAGACAAAGCGATCCTAGATTCAGTCGTCTGCATTGGCAGCATCAACATTTAGGTTCAGTCTGTGGTTTAAATTTTTTAAGACATCAATAACTTTGTTAAATCTTCATGGAATTTTAGGAAATTTAGACAGAAGCTTGTTTATGACTAAAATACAGTATTCAGAGCAAAATTTTAATTTTTCCGTATTTAAATGATAAATGGACTTTTTTTTACATTTAACAAATAGAAACAGTCTGGGTTTAAAGTTTGTTACACATCAATTGCTTTATCAAACTTCATAGAATATTATGAAACTTTGGAAGAAGCTTTTTTATGATTAAGAGATAATGTCTGAATCAAATTTTTGTAAATATATATTTTTTTCGTTTTTAGTATTTTTCTGATAGATGGACTCAGTTTTTTACAGTGAATATTTACAGAAAGTCTGGGATTAAACTTTTTTGATATGATGAATTTGTAAACCTGCATGGAATGTTGTGAATTTGGAAAGAAGCTAATCTTCAAGACGATGAAATAACATCTAAAGAAAAAGTTTGATTTTTTTTTAAATTCTGTATTTTACTGATTAAATGGACACACTTTTTAAGTCAACATTACACTTATACACTTACAGCAACAATCAGAGGCAAGACACAGGGTTTTGCGGAACCCCTTATGGATTTCTATTTTTATATTTTTATTATACGACCGCAAAAAAATTTTGTGGTCGTATATTGGTATGACGTTGGCGTCGTCGTCGTCGTCCGGCGTCGTCGTCGTCCGGCGTCGTCGTCCGAATACATATTGGTTTTCGCACTCTAACTTTAGTTTAAGTGAATGGATCTTTTTGAAATTTGACCATAAGGTTAAATACCACAAAAGGAAGGTTGGGATTGATTTTGGGGGTTATGGTACCAACAGTTAAGGAATTAGGGGCCAAAAAGGGGCCAAAAATGAGCATTTTCTAGTTTCCAGACAATAACTGTGGAACGGTGTATGGATCTCTCTGAAATTATACTACAAGTTTCCATACCACAAAGGGATGGTTAGGATTTGCTTTGGGGGGTTATGGCTCAAACCGTTTAGGAATTAGGGGCAAAAAAGGGGGAAAAACAAGGTTGTCCTGGTTAATGGACAAATACTTTAGTACAAAACATAATTTAAAGCAGTGTAAGGGAGATAAATCAAATACATCATTGAAATTATCTCCCTTACACTGCTTTTAAATTATGTATAAAGTAATGGTTAATGAACAATAAAGATAATTTAAAACAGTGTAAGGGAGGTAATCCAAATACAACGTTTTGGTTACTTCCCTTACACTGCTTTTAAATTATGTTTAAAGAAATGCATATTTATAAAGGAAGACCAGTAAAAATATCTGCAAATGTTTTCATCTTTTTTTTTTACAAAAAAATCCATATGAAAGATTTGACACTATATTTTTATTAATTCTATTATAAAATAGATTAAGTTAGCACTATGGTAAATTTAAATGGGTAATTATGGTTGCCAACTCCATTGGAAATTTGAATTGAGATTATGACCATATCTTGAGGGAAAGAATTTTTTTGGAGGAAAAGGGGGGGGGGATAAAAAGAAATTGTGGGGGGCCAATTTTTTCTCAATTCAGATTTCAGAAATTAAAAAGAATTATTCTTCAAATATTATTTTTTTTTCAAATTTCAAATATTGAAAAATTTCAAGAAGTAATCTTTAATTGCACAGTATGGCGCATTAGATTTGTAAAATCTTTGATCACATTTATTTATTTGTTATGCCGAATCTAACAGTGTATTTAGATTTTTAATTTTGGGTCCAGTTTTCAAATTGGTCTACATTAATGTCCAAAGGGTCCAAAATTAAACTTTGTTTGATTTTAGCAAAAATTGAATATATGAGGTTCTTTGATATGCTGAATCTAAACATGTATTTAGATTTTTGATTTTTGGCCCAGTTTTCAAGTTGGTCCAAATTGGGGTCCAAAATTAAACTTTGTTTGATTTCAACAAAAATTGAATATATGGGGTTCTTTGATATGCTGAATCTAACCATGTATTTAGATTTTTTATTTGTGGACCCCATTATCTAATTGGTTCATATTGAGGTCAAAAGGGTCCAAAATTAAACTTTGTTTGATTTCATCTAAAATTGAATTATTGGGGTTCTTTGATATTCCAAATCTAACCGTGTATTTAGGTTTTTAATTTTGGGTCCTGTTTTTTAAATTGGTCTACATTGAGGTCCAAAGGGTCCAAATTAAACTTAGTTTGATTTTAACAAAAATTGAATTCTTGGGGTTCTTTGATTTGCTGAATCTAAACATGTGTTTAGATTTTTGATTATGGGCCCAGTTTTCAAGTTGGTCCAAGATAGGGTCCAGTATTTAAACTTTGTTTGATTTCAACAAAAATTGAATATATGGGGTTCTTTGATATGCTGAATCTAAACATGTATTTAGATTTTTGATTATGGGCCCAGTTTTCAAGTTGGTCCAAATTGGGGTCCAAAATTAAACTTTGTTTGATTTCAACAAAAATTGAATATATGAGGCTCTTTGATATGCTGAATCTAACTAACCATGTATTTAGATTTTTTATTTGTAGGCCCCGCTATCAAATTGGTTCATATTGAGGTCAAAAGGGTCCAAAATTAAACTTTGTTTAATTTCATCGAAAATTGAATTATTGGGGTTCTTTGATATGCCAAATCTAACCGTGTTTTTAGATTTTTAATTTGGGTCCCGTTTTTTAAATTGGTCTTCATTGAGGTCCAAAGGGTCCAAAATTAAACTTAGTTTGATTTTAACAAAAATTGAATTCTTGGGGTTCTTTGATATGCTGAATCTAAACATGTGTTTAGATTTTTGATTATGGGCCCAGTTTTCAAGTTGGTCCAAGTTGGGGTCCAAAATTATACTTTTTTTGATTTCAACAAAAATTGAATATATGGGGTTCTTTGATATGCTGAATCTAACCATGAACTTAGATTTTTTATTTGTGGGCCCCGCTATCAAATTGGTTCATATTGAGGTCAAAAGGGTCCAAAATTAAACTTTGTTTGATTTCATCAAAAATTGAATTATTGGGGTTTTTTGATATTCCAAATCTAACCGTGTATATAGATTTTTAATTTTAAGTCCCGTTTTTTAAATTGGTCTACATTAAGGTCCAAAGGGTCCAAAATTAAACTTAGTTTGATTTTAGCAAAAATTGAATTCTTGGGGTTCTTTGATATGCTGAATCTAAACATGTGTTTAGATTTTTGATTATGGGCCCAGTTTTCAAGTTTGTCCAAGTTGGGGTCCAAAATTAAACTTTGTTTGATTTTAACAAAAATTGAATATATGGGGTTCTTTGATATGCTGAATCTAACCATGTATTTTGATTTTGGACATTGGACCATAATAGGTAAATTAAAAAAATTCAAGTTCTTAGACCACATTCTTTCTGTGTCAGAAACCTATGCTGTGTCAAATATTTAATAACAATCCAAATTCAGAGCTGTATCAAGCTTGAATGTTGTGTCCATACTTGCCCCAACTGTTCAGGGTTCGACCTCTGCGGTCGTATCAAGCTGCGCCCCAGCGAAGCATTTTATTGCTGTTGTGTTTCTTTTACATATTTTGTTTGTTTGTTTATGTATTTATGTTAATCAGGTTGTTTTTTTTCCATATTTTATTCACAACTGTCATTCTATGTATATTTAAAATATCATGTCTTGAAAATCATATATAAAATTGAGAATGGAAATGGGGAATATGTCAAAGAGACAACAACCCGACCAAAGAGCAGACAACAGCCAAAGGCCACCAATGGGTCTTCAATGCAGCAAGAAAATCCTGCACCCGGAGGTGGTCCTCAGCTGGCCCCTAAATAAAATTAAATGAATTCAAATGTTATTTGACAAGTTTCTATAATCTTCATGTGTCTTGAAATGATATATTTTTTTTGTCTTTGTATATTATAGGACATATTTGTAGTTTCCAACCAGATTTTCAAATATTCATAAAAACCACAAATAATTTAAAAAAAATTAAATGTATTTTCGTTTAAATATTCAAAAGCATTAATTCCTAAGATTCCATCATTCATAAGATTACTCTGTTCTATACATTTATAGTACTACGAAAATGGTAGTCGCCATAAAATTCTTTTGCTAATTTTTATTCAACTCTTATCTAATATATTGATGGTATATATACAATGTACATTTATGTTTTTTGTATTTGCCTTGCTAATTTTTAAAAAAATCAGATGCCTTTTCTTTTTTTAGGAAAAAGAAGAAGAAGCAGGAAAAGAGAACGAACCAGCTTTAATGAACGGAGAAGCAGAGGTAACAATACTAAAATAAGAAATTGAATGGTTGAGCTCCTTAGAGCTGTTCACTAAAAACATACATTGGACCAAGATAAGACAACTTGAATTTTGAACCTAAGGGTTGGTGTGATTGCTATAATGGGGGGGGGGGGGGGGGGGGGTGTTACTTTGTTTGTTCAAAGCGACTTTCCTGAAAAAAAGTTGTTAATAGCAGTGCACAACAACATATTGAGATGTATTCAATTGGGCCGTTTTAACCAACAAAATAAAACAAAAGATGTTACTGAAAAAAAATCAAAAGACCAAAACTGTTTAACCCAGAAGTAAGATTTCATTGAAAATCAAACACAATATAATAGGAAAAAAAAGAAAAAAAGTTATTTTTCTCTTTGCTTTGACGATTTAATTACTAATATAAAGTATGATGAATAAACAGTGTAAAAGTTTTAAGATACTGTCAAACGTGTTAGCAGAAATTTTGCAAGCCTGAATAAATATGCTTTTAGAAATTAAGGCCTATTCTGTTATGATCTTCACTAATTACATGTATCAGGTTCTTTAGGAAAATCTGCAGACTGTTGTGCATCTACAGGCTGACCCTTATTTTATACATTGTATGTAAAGATTGTAAAAAGGAGGTATGAGCACGAAAAGAAGAGGAAATAAAATGGCTATTTCTCGATGTACAAAAAAAAATTTTTGTTTTTCGTAATTTGCAAGAAACACAGTGATAATGAATGAACTTCAAGCACTAGAATGTGTGAAATAAAGATTGCAAATAAGTTGCACAAAAATAACCCTTTACGGTCTGCTACTTAGCCTGAGAGTTACATATAAACAACATTCATCCATATATGGGTCAAGATATGCAATTCATTTCAAGTAGGCCGTAGTGGTAGCCTTTTCCTTAATTTCGCTGCCCATATAATAAACTTTGTTTTATTCCAATATGTTATTTCTATTAAAAGTCAGAACAGCCACAGAGAGTTGCCAGACCCACATCAGCTAAAGGCTCTAGAAGAAGACACGGAGGTATGTTATTAGTGACCTTGACATCATTAGCTTTGTTTTATTTCTGTTTGCTGTGTTTTGATTTGTTTTGTCATGACCTCATGTTTACTTACAATGTTAAAGTTATAGCATATTGTTTTTATTTTTTACTTAATATTGATAAAATTTTAGATATTTGTCTTGAGTTAATTTTCACTTTTGATTTCCAGGGTACTAAGTCATAAAACTTTACTCAGTACTCGGAGTACCAAATTTGTGATCGAAACATCAAATCCAGTATTTTGATTGGATGATTTCTGAATCTGAGAATGATTATCGTGCTCGAAATTTTTATGACCGCAAGGCCTGATTTTATAGTATAATTCTACTTGAAATTGAAGTCATTTTGTAAATCCAGGAAATATTTTTTAATTTGTCCACAAATTTGGATAGACTTCCTTTTTGAAGTAACAAAACTTCCCCGTAATATTAGAAATCCTTTCTTATAAAGTTTAACATGCTAAAATGAATATACATGAATTTATTTTTACTTATAAAACCCTTTCTTATTAAAGGAAACAAAAAGCAGGGTTTTTTTAAGTAGATAGATTGAGATAAGAATTTTTTCCTGTTGGGTTATATTTATCAAATTGATAATTTTGTTTAGCTAAATTAAGTTTGCATAACCTGGAAAAATTACATAAATTTTAACAAGTTATAATTTCATCGATACTTAATATTTTTCTTTTGCATGTAAGAATTCTTTACTTTTAGTTCCTACTCTTTTCAATATGTATTTACTAGGAGAATAGTATTTGTACAATATGTATTTACTAGGAAAATAGTATTTTTATATACTTTCAAAATAAACCTGTTTTCTCAATGCATGATATGATATATTAACAATTCACAAAGTTTCAAGTGAAATAAATTTGAATTCCTGATGTTTGAGTAGTATGTCAAATACAAAAGCTTTTAATACAACTCTTGTTTTTAGTTTATATTGATCACAAAATGCACATACAAAGAATGCTATTCAGTAGGAATGTAAGCAGCGCTTCTCAATTTTTGAAGTGTTTAAGTAAGAAGTTTTATGGAAAAAACGTATGAATTTTTTTCTGCTTTTTGTAAAAATTTGCTTATTCAAAAGATTAAAATTGTCATGGAAGTTAAGTTCTGTATGCAGCTATTCTTTCAGAAACTACAATAGTTATTTAAAAAAAATGAGTAATAAGTTTAGTCAAAAATGTTTTTGTTTAAAAATTTTAGTGAGAAAACAAAATCACAATTTTTTAAATGAGAGTTAACTTACTCCCAAAATTTTAACACACTTTGCTTAAATCCTCCTTATTGAACCCCAATTTCACTAGCTGAGTAGCTGCTTTTCACATTTTAGCATTTTTATTTGCTAATGTTGGCATATTTATTTTTGCCCCATTAACAGGACGACACCATGCTTCAAGTGATGAAGGTATGTCTGAATTATCAGGTCACAATTAATGTTGTAGATAGATGTAGAAAGTTGGTCTGTACTGAGTTTTAAAACTGGATCTATTGTAGTCTTTTGTTCCAAGCAGAGAATCTTAAAAATAGTTTATGCTAAATTTGTGTCATCTGAAAATTTAGGAAATGACTAAAAAGTTTTTCATTGTTAGAAGTATAATAAAAGTTTCAATTTTTTTTAAATATGAAATTAGATAATTATTAATGTTGTATATTTAAGTTGGATAAAATTCTCTTTTTTTTGTAAAAAGATTTTGTAAAGTAATAAGAAACACTGTTTGATATGCTTACTTTATGTATAATTTTTGTCTGCATTAATTTATTGATAAACTATTAAAACATGTTTTCATTGAAATTTGTCCTATATGCATATTAGAAAAAATAAAAGACCTAATAGATCTTCAATACCCATGTGATATCAGGTTTTAATTTCTGAAAAAACATTCATAGATTGAAATTGTCAGATATTTTTTTATTTTAACATGTTAAAATTTTAATAATTCGATTTCTTGCATTAGAGGTTATAACTTATCGAAGATTTAAAACTATACTTGTATAAACACTTGAATATTTTTGTCTATAACATGCTCAAGTGAATAAGTATTCTATATTTTTGACATCAGAATGCCAGATCATAGTTTTAAAGCTCAGTGTTAACGTACTGTATTACTTTGTTGACAATCATGAAATAAAAGCTGTTTTTTTTAGAAATTGTGTATAGACCTAGGACTATGGGAGACAACTCCTGATCAAATTTTTTTCAAACTTTTTATTGATATTTTCAAGAAGTTTCTTTTGCTTTTTTTCAAATAGGAAGTGCAATAATTTAAATAAGTTTGACGTAACAAACAAATCTTCAGATGAAAGATGCCAAACAAATTTCATCCCATCAAATTAACATTGAAAAATTTAACAATTAAACAACTGTAACAGTTTGTATTATTACATCTACAGTTAATTGGTATTATAAAACTTATTTCTTTATAATATTTGGATCACAATGACCTAATTTTAATGTTTGGTTGGCTTTTAGTAATTTTTACTTATTAGTTTTCATAAAGTGCTTTTAAAACTCAGCATCCCAGGTTAAAATAAGGAGAATCATTTATTGAAAAATTAGATAAAAAATAAAAAAGAATGGATAAGATGACATGCTACTTTATGATTGTCTACAAAAGAAATGTCTAATTTTTTCTTAAGTAGAATAGAAAATTTCTTCTTCCTTGTAGATTTAGGATTCCTAGAATACATGTATATATATATATATATATATTGCTTATCTGTGAATGCTGAATAATTTTTTTTTATTCCTATGTACAGCTTGGTTTGTCGTTTCCAGATTGCATTGATTCAATGTACTATGTGGTCTTTTATTTCATTAAAGGGTCAACATTTTGTTTGTACAGTTATATTAATTACATAATCAACTACTTGTACCAGGAATTTTAATTTAAGGTCCAGGCTTTGAATTTTATTTTCTATGTTTGTAGAGTATTTAAAGTAATTAGTATTGTTAAGATTGGAAAATCCTAAAGTGAAATCCAATTATCTTTTTTTGATCCTCAGTCAAAAACAGTGGTTGCAGAGATAGAGTGATGGTCTTTGCACATGTCTTTGTGTCCATCGGACATTTGAAAAAAAAATAGCCCTAAATTCTTCAAACACTCCGCACCAAAAATTATATTGGTCCATCAAGGAAGGAGCTTCAAACCTATTTTGTTATGAGATCAGAACTTAAAAGTAAAAGTCAGATCATTTCATTATAGAAAAAAACCACAAAAGCACTATCTATAGAGACATCCAGTCAAAGGTAAAAAAGTAAGAAGTCTAATTTCATGGCTGTATGAAGACGTTATGGTAAAAGATTGTATAGCTATCTTGTCCCATATCTACCAACTGTTATTAAAAAGTTCCAAGCTTTGTACAATGGTTTTAAGGAGAAGTTGGAGCCATTTTAACATCAAGGTCATAAGTTAAAGGTTAATATCACATTATGTTGTTTATTGGAAAAGCTAGTGTGTTTTATTTTATTCATTATTCAAACTTGTTACAACAGTGTCCTGTGATGAGAGGATGAACTCTATTGAAAATGGGGGAGTCATACTTGTAAGCTCTTGCAAGAATTCTTCAGAAACATTATTTTTATAAGTCTCTTGTTTTTATACAGCGCAAAAAAATTTTTGTGGTCGTATATTGGTATGACGTTGGCGTCGTCGTCGTCCGAAGACGCATTAGTTTTCGCACTCTAACTTTAGTTTAAGTGAATGGATCTCTATGAAATTTTACCATAAGGTTCAATACCACAAAAGGAAGGTGGGGATTGATTTTGGGGGTTATAGTACCAACAGTTAAGGAATTAGGGGCCAAAAATAAGCATTTTTGTAACTTCCAGACATAACTTGTGTGTAAGTGTATGGATCTCTCTGACATTGTACCACAAGGTTCCATATCACAAAGGGAATGCTTGGATTGATTTTGGGGGTAATTGCCTCCAAATTTTAGGAATTAGGGGCCAAAAAGGGGCAAAAAACAAGCATTTTTCTAGTTTCATGACAATAACTTGTGTGTAAGTGTATGGATCTCTCTGACATTGTATCACAAGGTTCCATATCACAAAGGGAATGCTGGGATTCATTTTGGGGGTAATTGCATCCAAATTTTAGGAATAAGGGGCCAAAAAGGGGCAAAAAACAAGCATTTTTCTAGTTTCCAGACAATAACTTGTGTGTAAGTGTATGGATCTTTATGAAATTGTATTACAAGGTTCCATATCACAAAAGAAAAGCTGGAATTGAGTTTGGGGGTAATTGCCCAAAAAGTTTAGGAATAAGGGGCCAAAAAGGGGCCAAAAATAAGCATTTTTCTAGTTTCCAGACAATAACTTGTGTTCAAGTGTATGGATCTCTCTGAAATTGTACTGCAAGGTACCATACCACAAAGGGAAGGCTCGGATTGATTTTGGGGGTAATTCCCTAAAAATTTTAGGAATTAGGGGCCATAAAAGGGCAAAAAAACAAGCATTTTTTTAGTTTCAGGACAATAACTTGTGTGTAAGTGTATGGATCTTTATGAAATTGTACTGCAAGGTTCCATATCACAAAGGGAAATCTGGGTTTGAGTTTGGGGGTAATTGCCCCAAACGTTAGGAATTTGGGGCCAAAAAGGGGTAAAAAAACAAGCATTTTTCTAGTTTCCTGACAATAACTTGTGTTCAAGTGTATGGATCTCTCTGAAATTGTACTGCAAGGTATCATACCACAAAGGGAAAGCTGGGATTGAGTTTGGGGGTGATGAATCATAAGGGGGTTCAAAAAATTTGGGGGGGGGGGGGGTTTTCCTTTTTTTTTTCTTTAAAATTTTCCATTTTAAATTGGTTATTTCTGATTTATATATTAAAGCAAATAATAATGATATGGTTTGAATAGGTTAATTAAAAAATTTTAAGTTCTTAAACCACTTTCATTCTGTGTCAGAAACCTATGCTGTGTCAAATATTTAATTACAATCCAAATTCAGTGCTGTATCAAGCTTGAATGTTGTGTCCATACTTGCCCCAACTGTTCAGGGTTCGACCTCTGCGGGCGTATCAAGCTGCGCCCCAGCGGAGCATTTTATTTATTATCCCTTTATGGGTTTCTGACAAACAACTGTCAGTTTTGTCTGTTTAAATTCAAATTGTCCAGTGAACTGTAGGAAAGCTGATAGTTGATTGGTGATAGGGTTTTGCTCAGATAAATTTTTCTATTTAACAATATTATTTTTTTTCAAGCTTTTGAGGATATGATAGGGGGTGTAGCTCAAAATCAGTTTGCCACTGTCTGAAATGGTTTTTATTCAATCTTTGATTTGAACACATTTCAGTTACATACGATGCACCAAATTTTAAAAAATGTGGCTGTCATAAGTCATGCATGCAAACAAAATGTTGTTTTGCTTTGAAACAAGTTTATCAGATGTTGTATAAATATATGTTTATATATGTATATAATACATTGTTTTTTCTTATTACACATGCTTTGTGGAACCCTTTAAAAAAAAAAGTTATATTAAGAAAGTGAATGAAGAGAGAGTTTGATAAATCATTTATTTTGAGTTTTTTAATACAAGACCAATTATTTTAACGAACAATTTTGTCAAAGCTGTTGCTTTATAAATTTGAACTATTCATTATGGTACAGTTCTGCTGCCTGTTTGAAATCTAGGAATACGTTGGAAAAAGTGGTAAGAAGTTTGTTGATTTGAAAAAGGTCAAACTTCAATTCTATAAGAAATAATTCGTCTGTGTAAACAAATTCCACTAGATTTTGTCCATCATACTTAGTCTTCAAGATAAAATTATGAGATATACATGTTATATTTTTATATATTAATATATCCAGAGGATCCTTTCTGCCTATTGATTTTTGATTTTTTTCTCTGCTTATAGATGATGAACCAAAAAGACAAATTCAGGCCTCAACAGATCCTTCTGTGGGCGAAGCAGACCTCCCTCCTCAAGTAGTTGCTTCGTAAGTATAGAGAAATATGCATGGCGAAGCTTTTAATTCATTTATCTGGGTTTTTACTGATAAATGAACTTTGTTTTTGGCAGTCACAATGACACTTTTACATTGACAGCAGCAATCATAGGTGAGAAATAGGGTTACCTGGAATCCTTTACAAATTATTGATTTAGTATTGATTTTAAACTTTCTCTCCACATAATGGAAGGATTTATTTGTATGCATAATTTTGAATAATTTTGAACCATTTTCGTTTTTGTTCAGACGGAAAGCAGGACGACCAAGCAGTGCTAGACCTGCTCCTCCTAGGAGGAAAGAACAAACCATGGTGGAAAATGAACCAGCTATGAGGTAAACTAAGTATAGATATTGTAAAATATCAGCCACTCGACACAATGTGAATCTTTTTTGCTTATTCGCTGCACTCCCTCACAAAAAGGTTCGCATAGTGGATCCAGCTGATATTTTATAATATCAATGTGTAGAAAACCTGATAAGCTATACATAGTATGGCACCAATTTTACAATAGATTATTTGAATTATGCAATTGTGATATTGATGTAAGGATCATCAAAATGTTTAAGAGTTTCGTTTTACAATAAGTGACAGAAATGACAAAACTGCTCACACATGAGATGTTGGTCATGGCCACCTTGGTATTGTGAAAATATGTCGCACAGTGAAAAACCATCATGAATTTCTGAGATATAGAAATATCAATATTCATTTTAAAATCTTTTAATCATTTAAGATATTTGTACTATATGCGAGAAATGAGAAAGAGATAATATAAGAATATCTATGACACATATTCACTGGTTGTTGAAATTAAACTATGCAATAAAAATTTACCTGAGCTATGAAATGTAGGTCATGGTAATTCAAAATTTCTTTTTCCACATAGATGACTTTAGTATGAAGAAATGAACAGGAAGAGATGATTGGGGCCTAGGTGGCAGAGTGGTCGTATAAGGTTATTTTAAATTATCACGTTCCTGTGATTTCTGAGGTTGTGAGTTCAAACCCTACTCATGGGGAGGTTTATTTGACCTCAGTTTCAATTACGAGAGATTGCCAGTTCTCCTGCCAAAGGTCAGAGTCTCTCTTCGGGCTTCTGATACCAAAACAAAAATAAAAAAAAACTTGCACCCATGAAAGAACCAGGGTGACACACAAACAAACAGATGTGATAACTATCTTCAGATTTTTTTTTAAAACTAAATTTTATTGTATATCCATTTATAACTATATTTATAATGTTGATATATCAACAGACTGGGCAGTGGACAACCTACCAATGTTATTGTGGACGATGGTCAAAATTCAGATGATGAAGAGGATGAAACTTTTGTTGTTGAAGAAACTGCCCCACCACCACCCGATAGTGATCAGGTTTGTATAGTTGAAAATATGAATAAAAGGATATGAAAGCTAATTTTGCTGTGATGTGGATTGTTTAATGTTATATCTTAATCATGGTAAAGATTAAAGACTATGATATATAAGAATAAAGATGTCAGTTTCAAATATTCAAATAGAATAAAAATTTGCAATATAAAAAAGAAATGGTTTTTTATAATGCTACTGTTAACTATTTTGCAGTCACATTTATCAAAATATTACCAGAATTTACTGTAATATTTTCATATTTTTTTCGCGGAATTATTTCATTAAAATTTGCATGAACACTTTGCATTGATTAGGAAGAGACGGCACCAGACGGGGTAAATAATTTCAATAATTGTTGTACTTTACTCTTTTTTCCAATAATACCTCAATTCTTATTGTTTACATGTAGATAGTCATCAATTTTGTATATTATTATTAACTTTTATTTTCTGTTAAACATTGACTTTGGTAAAAAAAAGTTAAGTAGATGCATCAACTCAAGCGATCTCAAAAGTGCCCTTCATTTTGTAAACCTTTAACCATTTATAGATCGGTTGAATTATTGCAGGCGAAAATCATCATCAGAACTTTAAATTGTGCCTATTTTCAGCGATTTTGCTAGCGCTCGTCATTTACGAAACGGTTTTCAAAATGACGAAAGTATTCCAAATCAATTTCGTCACTTAAATTTGGAAAGAGTAAAAATATTTTCGAATGAAAATACTATAATTCTACCTGTCTTATTGTTTCCGACAAGTTTATGACCCTCAGCTAATTATGATTTACAACAGGTGTTATAAGTTGTGATTACAGATAATCCGCTTATCGCCATCGGATGGGTCACTAATCCGTTTAATGTTTATCAACCTCATAATTGTTCATCATAATTATTTTCCCCAGTAAAATCAGTCAGTCGGCATTTCAATTTCAATATTTATCAAACAAGTACAATTTGCAGTTCGTTTGTTGTAGTTTCGTCATTTGAGTTTTCCCTCAGACAGTTCACATTTTAATTTCAATATTTCTCAAACGATCACAATTTGCAGTTCGCTTGTCGTAGTTTCGTCAAATGAACGTATTTTCGTCATATTTGATATAACTTTTAATCAAAAACTTTCGACAATTTCGATTAAAAAGATAGAACTTTATTCATAACATTCAGAAATGTTTTCACGAGTCAAACAGGTGCTTCCTTTATGATGAACTGCACATGCGCGAAAGTATTCCTATGAATTTAAAGACACTAAAACGTAAAATACGAAAAAATTAAGTATCAAACTAAACGAGAGAGAGACAAATATAGTTCTAATTTAGCAAATTTAATTTAAAATATGATAATTTCCTGCCATTTTTAAAAACGAACCAATCCGTAGATGAATCCGGATTCATTCTGAATTTATTATCCACTTGTCACTTCCCGTTTTCATTTCATTTGGAAATCGGAAGTAAACGTGATCTATTCATGATAAATTTACAATTTAAAGTCATTAGATTTGTTCCAATAAGGATTTGTACAAATCCTTGCTTCCAACTTTATAGAATTAATTCTAAATATCGCTTTAAAACGTTTTTAAGGATAATGAGTATGAATAATGCAGTGAAATAGTCCCTACAAGTTCATTAATGGGAATTTATTAATGCTGTGATTCCTGGTTTAAAAAAAATGGATCCCAACTTTTTCTGATTAGGAATGTACCCTGAAACTAACTGAAGCGAAATTGTGAACTAGATTTCTAGATCTTATATCCTAATTAATCTTTGTATTAAAGTTCCACATCAGTCAAATCATGCAGTAACTGCCTAGTATGCCTTAGTCCTTCAAAGTCTGACAAAGATGTATAGATAGTAATATACATCCTAGGTCCCTTGCTGCTACCCAAAATAAGATTGATTTTCGTCCCATGCAAAAGTGACTAAAGCCCTCAAAATCCTAGCTTAAACCCTGCTGTTTTACAATAAAGTTGAAAATATTGTCAGAGGCATCTCTGATATTATAGTTTCTGTTAAAGAAAATTTCATAAAATGTTAATCTTTAACAGCCCTACCATTTTATATTGTTACCTCCCTACCCCTGTATATTGTTATGCATATTTCCTGTTACCCTGTGAAAATATGTTAAACTCCCTACCCCTGTATGTTGTTATTTATATTTCTTGTCACCCTGGGAAAATGATTTTTTTAGATTGGCAAGTGTAAATTTCTGTTATTTTTTTTTGTTATCAATATTTTTATAGGAAACCTATATAAAATAAAGTATAGTTTTATTTAATTGCTGTAAGAACTTAAACATTCTTTTAACCCTTTCAATGCTATACACAGCATATGCCGCGATGACGTACGCCGCCTGCCACTGCTGTTCGCAGCATATGTCGTGATTACTATGGATTTTTCATCCAGACTTGTAACCATTCGGTTTTCATTCGGGTCCTCTCTAATTTTTCCTCGTATGAATCGAGGATATACAAGGTCCTGTTTGCGCTTGAAATCATGGGAATTTTAATGGTAAAAGCATGCAGTAGAAGAAAAATTTAAAAAAATATTTTGACAAATGCAAATGGTGGAAATTGAAAAAGACGCTGTAAATATGGAATTATTTCAGCATTTCTATGGCGAAACTGACAACGAGGAGTAGTTAAAAGGTTTCCCGTTATCTCAATGTGTTAATTACATTCAATTTGTGTGGGAAATATGATTTGGTCGATCTTTACGAGACGTAGAAAAAGGGGGGGAAACGGAGGTTGACTGAAAATTTTTAGGACGGAGCCACTTATTTGCGCCATGTTTACATTAAACATTGTGTATGGTGTAAATACACTACGGAATCGAGAAACTGGTGTCTTTTTTATTATATGGCAGATAAAACAACAAAATAAATGAAGATTAAAAGTTGTTTTTATTCAAAATTCAACACAAATACAATAATTTACACCTTTTACCTGTTAATTACCTGAAAATGCAGGTAGCTTGATGAAAATTTTACTAAAATAATTGCATAACATTACAGTTCATGCTCTCCTGAGCATTTTTCATGCACTAACTTTGTCTGTATCTCTAATAATAAAAAAGATACAACAGTCTGAAAAGGAATATACTGTTCTAATGAATGAAACACAAAAAAATGCAGCAGCAGCATCCATTTTTCTATATTTTTGTGTAGCGTTGAAAGGGTTAAAAGAAAAGAAAAAAAGATAGAATTATACTGAGCGATTTATTGAATTAAAGAACTTAAATTTCTATCACAATTGCTCCCAATATTAAAAATTGAATGCTTCCAATAATAAAAATGAATGCTCCCAATATTCATATGAAAACAATTGAAGTAGTTAGAGTTGAGATGCATAGTTACTTTTTATTATAAATCTTTTTGTTTTTCTCTGTTTTTTGTTGTTTATTTTATGCTTTTCCTTATATATTGACATTTTATATTTATATATAAAACTACTTAATCACCTCTAATATAGACTAGTCAGATTTTATTATATGCACCAAATTTTAGTCTGTTATCTTGACACAAGGGAGGCATTAACTTACTTTAATTTTAAAGTATGTGTTATGTATAATCGTAGAAGCCTTGAAAATGTAAGATAGTTGAAAATTTAAAAATATGCATATTTATGAAAATTACATAAAAGCTCAAATATCTTGAAATCAAGATGGAAGTTTCAGAGTTTAGAAAAATGGCATGTACATTAAGACCCTCATGAGAGAGGTTATTTATCTGTGTGGATTGTTTGTGTCATATTACCAAGTATAAGAAATTCAGGAGCCTCCGGAAGATATTCTTTCATTTAGGATAAGTCTTTTGAAGAAGAAACGTGTGTCTGGGAGTCAAAATTTTAAGCCGGTTATCTATGATGAGTTTATTTGAAATCCTTTCTACAGATGTGACTGAATGGATGACATTGAGTGAAAATACTTGTTTTTTACATACTTATAAGTCTATAGCTAGTTTTATAGTGCTTGGAAAAAAAATTTCTTATTGGAGTATCAAAGGTTGATGTACAAAATTCTTATTCATGTAAAGAAGTAAAAATCATAAGTATTTGAAAAGAAACTTCGGAATATGATTCAAAACATTCAGAGGAATAAGAATTATGTTGAAATGTCAAGTGATCTGTGAATATTTTTAGAATGACTCTACTCTATTTTTAGGCCTTATCTCGACCGCTAGAAGATGGAGACGATGAAGACCATGGTGGATTAGTTAAAAAAATATTAGAGACAAAGAAAGAGCTAGAAGGTCCACAACAAACCAAGAAAACAGAAATTGTAAGTTGAAGCTCCAGTGTTGACGCTTCTCTCCGACCGTGCAAGACCTTCGTGGGTAGTCAAGGTCGTTACATTTCTTGTAACCATAGCTGCAAATTTTTATACGACCGCAAAAAAATTTTTGTGGTCGTATATTGGTATGACGTTGGCGTCGTCGTCGTCCGAAGACACATTGGTTTTCACACTCTAACTTTAGTTTAAGTGAATGGATCTCTATGAAATTTTACCATAAGGTTCAATACCACAAAAGGAAGGTTGGGAATGAATTTGGGGGTTATGGTACCAACAGTTAAGGAATTAGGGGCCCAAAAAGGGCCAAAAATAAGCATTTTTGTAACTTCCAGACATAACTTGTGTGTTAGTGTATGGATCTCTCTGACATTGTACCACAAGGTTCCATATCACAAAGGGAATGCTGGGATTGATTTTGGGGGTAATTGCCTCAAAATTTTAGGAATTAGGGGCCAAAAAAGGGGCAAAAAACAAGCATTTTTATAGTTTCATGATAATAACTTGTGTCTAAGTGTATGGATCTTTCTGAAATTGTACTACAAGGTTCCATATCACTAAAGGAGAGCTGGAATTGAGTTTGGGGGTAATTGCCCAAAACGTTTAGGAATAAGGTTCCCAAAAGGGGCCAAAAATAAGCATTTGTCTAGTTTCCAGACAATAACTTGTGTTCAAGTGTATGGATCTCTCTGAAATTGTACTGCAAGGTACCATACCACAAAGGGAAGGCTGGGATTGATTTTGGGGGTAATTGCCTCAAAATTTTAGGAATTAGGGGCCAAAAAAGGGGCAAAAAACAAGCATTTTTATAGTTTTATGATAATAACTTGTGTGTAAGTGTATGGATCTTTCTGAAATTGTACTACAAGGTTCCATATCACAAAGGGAAAGCTGGGATTGAGTTTGGGGGTAATTGCCCAAAACGTTTAGGAATAAGGGGCCAAAAAGGGGCCAAAAAACACATTTTTCTAGTTTCCAGACAATAACTTGTGTTCAAGTGTATGGATCTCTCTGAAATTGTACTGCAAGGTACCATACCACAAAGGGAAGGCTGGGATTGATTTTGGGGGTAATTGCCTCAAAATTTAAGGAATTAGGGGCCAAAAAGGGGCAAAAAACAAGGATTTTTCTAGTTTCATGACAATAACTTGTGTGTAAGTGTATGGATCTTTCTGAAATTGTACTACAAGGTTCCATATCACAAAGGGAAAGCTGGAATTGAGTTTGGGGGTAATTGCCCAAAACGTTTAGGAATAAGGGGCCAAAAAGGGGCCAAAAATAAGCATTTTTCTAGTTTCCAGACAATAACTTGTGTTCAAGTGTATGGATCTCTCTGAAATTGTAATGCAAGGTACCATACCACAAAGGGAAGGCTGGGATTGAGTTTGGGGGTGATGAATCATAAGGGGGTTCAAAAAATTTGGGGGGGATTTTTTTTTCCCCTTTTTTTTCTTTAAAATTTTCCATTTTAAATTGGTTTTTTCTGATTTATATATAAAAGCAAATAATAATGATATGGTTTGACAAAATGTTTAAATAGGTAAATTAAAATTTTTTAAGTTCTTAGACCACATTCATTCTGTGTCAGAAACCTATGCTGTGTCAAATATTTAATTACAATCCAAATTCAGTGCTGTATCAAGCTTGAATGTTGTGTCCATACTTGCCCCAACTGTTCAGGGTTCGACCTCTGCGGTCGTATCAAGCTGCGCCCCAGCGGAGCATTTTATTGAAAATGCTTTATTAATTGAGATTAGAAAAGATTTGATGTTTCAGTTTTTGTAAATCTTCAGTTGATTCTTAAATCTTGGAATGTCATGGCTACTGATTGGTATCAGAATTTAGTTTGCAAATGGAAACTTGTACATTAGGACTGTTTCTGAATTAAATGCATGAGAGAGGCTCTGTTTTCCGATTCCAACCCCCCATAGAATTAGATATTTTAATTTTACTTATAGTTCATACAAAATTCTATAAAGGAAAATTCAATCTCCAATATTTAATTAATTTGAGTGCTTCCTACCCTCCCATCCAATAAATTCTGGATCCCACCCAATAAATTCTGGAACTGCCCTAAACAGAAGACATTGTTTTTTCAGAAAGTTTTTAAAGCTTACATTTTATAGATATCTAACTCTGTCATAACCTAGACATTATTTCTCAAATATGGAGTTTCATTTTGATGTAAAATATTTCTATGTAGCAGAAATAGCTGATAATATTTTGTACCTTCTAACTAGAATAAGATATTTTAATTTTACTTATAGTTCGTACAAAATTCTATAAAGGAAAATTCAATCTCCAATATTTAATTAATTTGAGTGCTTCCTACCCTCCCATCCAATAAATTCTGGAACTGTCCTAAACAGAAGACATTGTTTTTTTCAGAAAGTTTTTAAAGCTTACATTTTATAGATATCTAACTCTGTCATAACCTAGACATTATTTCTCAAATATGGAGTTTCATTTTGATGTAAACAATTTCTATGTAGCAGAAATAGCTGATAATATTTTGTACCTTCTAACTAGAATAAGATATTTTAATTTTACTTATAGTTCGTACAAAATTCTATAAAGGAAAATAAAATCTCCAATATTTAATTAATTTGAGTGCTTCCTACCCTCCCATCCAATAAATTCTGGAACTGCTCTAAACAGAAGACATTGTATTTTCAGAAAGTTTTTAAAGCTTACATTTTATAGATATCTAACTCTGTCATAATCAAGACTTTATGTCTCAAATATGGAGTTTCATTTTGATGTAAAAAATTTTGATGTAGCAGAAATAACTGATAATATTTTGTACCTTCACATGATAAACTTGATAATTCTTACATTACAGGAAAGAAGTGGAATGTCGGATGCACAGCGCAGAAAACAACGTGAACAAGTTCAAAAGGAAGTGGATAAATTACGAGGCTCCATACAAACTTTAACACGTAGTGCTAATCCACTTGGTAAAATTATGGACTATGTTCAAGAAGATTTAGATTCGATGCAAAAAGAATTAGAAAGATGGAAGACGGAAAACAAAGAACATCAGATGGATTTGAAAAGGGAAAAAGGGTTAGTTTCGACAGATTTTTTAAAAACATAACTGAAATCTTTTCATTTAATCTTTTCAACTATTAAAATTTTACAATCATGTTGTGTGTACAATAACAGCATTTTTTGGACAGCACGGGGCATGTTTCCCTGTTTCCTTCTGGATGTGTCAAAAATAATCATACTCTTCTAAGAAAAACTAGAAAAGTATATAGTAGGCAATACCAACCTGCACTACCAATAATGCAAGTGACAAATTTAAATTAATTTCCGCAAATATGGGAAATGCATCTACTTTGAGGGTCTGTTAATTCAAGATATCAATCTGACAGATGTAAGTGTATGGAAAAGAAGAAATATGGTGTATTAAATTAAAACTTTGTGGGTTAGCAAACTCAATGCAAAGGAATAGTGTTTTTAATGCAGTTCTTCATCTTAAAGTCAAAGTGAGACCATCAGCATGTATCAAAACTCAATTTGGAAATTTGATATTGGATGTTTTGTTTCTTGGAGGAGAAACATTCCCTGTTTAGTATTATTATATAACATGCAAAAAAGATTGAATGGAAACAATTTCAAAATTTGATTGTTTTTGTTGGTAGATCAGTTTTCCTGTCCCATTAAACAGGTATAAATGTGATCATACCCTAAATGCAAAGCTGTGTTAATTATAAACCTGAAAATGAGCACACAATGAAATAATTTGAAAGATTTATTCTATAGTAAGGTTGTAGACCTAGGTTTAAGGGCAAGAACTCTATATTTTGTGTATGTATTCCAAGTTTTTTAGTAACAAAGATTTATTTCAATTCTGTGTCACATGAATGTTTAAAAATCATTGATTAAATTTACTTTTACAAACACACTACTTATTTAAAGTTTATCAATGTAACCCCATTTTATTTGTTTTTGTTTTTCTCTTTTTTTCAGAGTGACAGACAAGGCTGTAGAACCACTTAAAGCACAATTATCTGAAGTTGACCAAGCTATTAAAGATCAACTTGATCTGATCGCAGCCACCAAGTCGAATATTGCTAGAAATGACCAAAAAATAGAAAAACTTTTACAGAGTGTTACACGATCCTGAAAATTAGGCTGTTTTTATTGATTGTTTAGAAAATTAAGAATATAATTTGAGCAAAAAAAAAACTGATATTAGTTGCCAGTCAAATGTTCTTAGCAAATAAATTACTTAATTCATTATTATTAGTGAGAGACCAATTTTCATGGACTTTGTAGTACAGTGAACCTAGAATTTAAATGTCAACAAAGTACAAACTTTCCATAGGCTTGTACTCAGGCTTTTGCAGATCCACAAAAAATACAATTTTTGCTCAATCCATGAAAAATGGTACCCACAAAAAAAATAAATGAATTCAAAGTGCTTCAAAAGTTAATGATATTGCAAAGGTCTCCAATTATTTCGTAGTTACAAAAATTTCTATAATTTTTGTTTTGCTTTTCAAAAGAACTTATAAAATTTATATTTAATATCAGTATAAAAGGATGGCGCATGTGAATTTCATGTACGCAGTGTATTCTTGAAAATATTTATAATCTGTTGTACTGTGACTTCTTATATCGTCATTGTCTTATTTGATTTGTGCCAAGAATACCAGCGGTTAAAAATCAGGTTCAAAACATCTTAATTTAAACAAAAAAATATAAAGCTACATGTACAGTATGCATTTATACGTAAATGTAGCAGAGTCGACTGGCAGAAATACATGGGTATTTATGTTAATGTCATGCATTTTATTAGGCTGTAGATAATAGTCTAGTAATATTTTTTATAAAGATCTGATTCTTATACAGTTGGATGAATGTATGATGGTATATGTGGTACGAAAGTATGAAAGTTTATATGTGACGGAAAAGTAATACTTTTTATACCAAAATTGTTATCTCCCTTTTCACTGAGTAATGATTTCAATATTTATCTGTTTTATTTTAAACATGCATAATTCAAACTTAAAAGAAGGAAAATAAGTCATAAAGTTGAAACCAATTTTTTTGTATGTCCATTTCATGTATGCAGAATTACTCACGGAAATGTTGTTGGTTGTTTGGATTGAGGGATTGGAAAAGTCTGAAAAGCACAGATTTTATTTTGTACTTATTCCCAATATTTTATTATAAAGTAAAATTTGGAACTAGTTGATAGTTGGCTTTTGAGTCATATGCTGTTATTTTTCTACATTACTGGTTTACCGTAGTGTAAATACACATTTCATAACAAGCTTCTATAAGAAAAATAGATGCATACAGATGTGCAAAGTGGGAAGGGGAGAAAATCAATGAGACTAAAATGATCGGATAAATGATTGCATGTCTGTTTGGTTCTTTGTTGTAGATTTGAAGAAAAACTTTAGTATTGTGGTCTTTGCATTTTTGTTTTAAAAGTTTGTTTTTGATAGTTTTTGTAATATTTGCCAATGGATGTTTAGGAAACAACATTTAATTATATTTGGCAAGATTAATAACATATCATTCTTTATGGCTCTCTTTAGCTTTTCTTCACTTAAAATTGTCTCATAGTTTCTTTAAAAAAGGAGTTAAAATTTGAAGTATGTCTTGATGGTACAGGTTCTGTTTTTCAGTGTTATTAAAAAAACTGACTGCCACAAAATATCCAATGGGGCTGAAAGTAGCATTAAATATCACTCAATCAATTTTCAGTGTAATAACTTATTGAAAATAAAAGAGAGAACCTTCCAGCATTTATTGGAATTTAAAAAAAAAATTACAAGAAGCTTGAGGATTATTTATATGATTTATTTATATGACATTGTATAAGAAAACTTTGTGTTGACAGTTGTTAATTAAATTTGCTGTTACTGTTATAGATTTACATATCAGGATGACGGTATAAAGTCATAAGTGTAATTTATCGTAAAACTGAAAGAAACATCTTATTTTTAGTTATATTTATTGTTTTTATATTTTGTTTCATAAGCTTCAAGAATTCAGAAACCATCATTTTCATCGCAGCAAAAACGTGTTCATGGAAGTTTTGAAGCTATTTTTCGTTGTTTTGGTGTTTACTTTAAATGTAGTACTGCTATCTGTGTATTAAAGTTTTTTTAATGTACCAAGCAAGTTATTTTGATGAACATTCCATTTTATTTGCATGTAAAACAAAAAAATTCAGCTGACACGTAGAAGTAATATTTTAAAACATTCCATATGCATAAGATACCTGGCGTTACTTGACTGCAGAAAATATTCAAAGATTATTTTTGAAATAATATTTTCTTTGTCGTTAGATATCTTTAGTTTTGAGTTTTTGGTATTTGTATGCTTATGAGTATAGTATGTATTAAGTTATTTATGAAAAGATTTATTTAAATACTTGAGAAAATTATATTTAAATGGCAGTGAATAGTAAGTACTGGTACATGTCTTTTTGCTATAATCGATATTTTTCTCCAGTAAAATGATTCTGAATACTGTAAACCAACTTATTTTTCGTGCATACTTTTTTTAGCGGAAAGTCCTTTTTAACCAACTTCGCAGCAATAATTTATTTTGCGATCTTCTCATTTTCTTGATATACTTATATAAGGAAAGATCCAAGTTTCACATATTCGCGACAATTTAATTTCGTTAATTTTTTGACTTGTGAAAGTTGCAAATATCATTTGGTTGACAGTATATGAAATTATATTTTAAAACAATCATACCAGTATTTTTCAGTCTTAACAGACAGTTATAATATTTAAATTTATAAAAAAAAATCATTATCTTTCCAGATATTCTGTCAGATTGTTTTCCATTAACAGATTTCACATTCATGCTTCCATTATTTACTTACAAATTTAGTACAAATAAAAAGTACTGTTACCCAATGAAAGCAGTCTTGTGGTATTGTTGATATTGTGAGGTTGTGTTGTGATAGGTAGAAAAGAGAGATCTGATGTGCTCATTTATGTCACATACATGTCTTTTGAAACCATCAAGTTTCTGAATTTATAATGATTCATTTTCATTTTAGTAATTTAGCAACAACAGCTTTAAAAATCTGGATTATTCTCCACTTTTCTCCATTAGAAAATTATGGAAAATATTTAAAAAGTAAAGAAAAGGGGAAAAAAAATACTAACAAAACCAAAACAAAAAAATATTCTGACTATACTGTATTTTTTTCTTTCATTTCTTTTAATAGGGGGTAATTTTCTTATCTGCATGCCACTCAGGCTCAGAAAATGAATTGTTTATAACAATTTCAATGCCTTGTATTTTAAACCAGTTCCTCGCATTAACTTGTAAGCATCTAATTTCAACAAACTGCAAATGTTCACATTTTAACTCCTTTGACAAGACATTGAATCTTACTGGTACATGTATCTGTTTTAAAAAAAATAGTGATATAACATGTATAATTATAAAAAAAAAATGTATTGGTGCAACTGTGCTGTAATAGACTTGTTTCATCAAAAATATTACTCTGAATTAGTTGTTAAAGGACTCATTATATGATTATTTTTGAAACATATTATATTTTCAGAAACTTGATGTTTGGAAATGTTGTTAAGTCTCAGGATTTGTAAATCCGTCCACTTCAGTATGAAATTTGTATATTTTTTTTCAATAAACTATTGTTGAAATCTGCTGAATGTTCTTATTTGTGTACACTGATATTTGGTCCATATGCTACTTTTGCCTTTTAGATCATTTTATGCCCCCGCCGCAGCGGAGGGGGCATTAAGAATTACCCTTGTCAGTACATCCGTATGTACGTCCCATAGCTGGTTTCCGTTCTCTAACTTTAGTTTGCCTCAACCAAATGTTATACACAATGCTTATTAGTGAAGTTATTACCACAAAACACAGATTGAGTTTGAAAATGGGTGGCGTCACTTGTACCATTCTTGAGTTATGCCCCTTTATAAACATAAAAATTGCTGAATTTTTCGTTTCCGTTCTCTAACTTCAGTTTGCCTCAACCAAATGTTATGAAACTTATACACAATACTTATTACCACAAAACTCAGATCAAGTACAAATTATGGTAGCGTCACTTATACCGTTCCTTAGTTATATCCCTTTATAACTTTATTAGATATGCAAGTGGGGGCATCATCTGTGTCCCATGGACACCTTCCACATTTATTTTTATTAGCTCTTCTGGCCTGAAATCTAGTGTGAGATTTTCCCATTACTTAGTGTCTGTTGTCTGTTAACTTTTACAAAAATCTTCTCCTGTGAAACTACTAAGCCAAATTTAACCAAAATTGGCTGGCATGGCTAAAAGTAGAACATAGGGGTTGAATACATTTTTAGCTCACTTGGCATGAAAGGTCAAGTGAGCTTTTCTCATTACTTGGGGTCCGTCGTCCTTCATCGTTAACTTTTACAAAAATCTTCTCCTCTGAAACTACTGGGCCAAATTTAACCAAAGTTGGTCACAATCATCATTGGGGTATCTTTTTAAAAAAATGTGTCCGACTACCCAGCCTCCCAACCTAAATGGCCGCCATGGCTAAAAATAGATTTGATTGACTGTTGGTTGCTTAATGTCCAGTGGAAAATATTTCTTGCATATTCAGGACGAGAACAAATTAACAAAAAATACAATAGGTAGAGTCTGTAATAGAGGCGTCCAGAAAAATTTAGACTGCCACTGGAAATGAGGGTATATTGGATAGGGACAGAAATTTAGCCTTGCAACAGGTCAACTACGGGTCCCTCAAAAAGTTGTTGCAAGGGTTCTTAACGTGCAAAGAGCGTAGCACTCTTTACACGAGGCATCGGATTTAACGTCCCCATTCTGACTGGACGTGGCTGCAAATTTGTACATCTGTCACAGCCAAACAGACGTCCCACTTTGGCGAGGGTTTTACTGCTGGTGGGAGGAAGACCAATGGTGACCTTCTATTCCCCAGTCACCCTGTTCTAAAAATAGATTGAGAACCATCTGCCCTGAAATTTTCAGACAAATCAGACAACCCATTGTTGGGTTGCTGCCCCTGAATTGGTAATTTTAAGGAAATTTTGCAGTTTTTATATGACCGCAAAACATTTTTTGGGATCGTATAATGGTATGATGTCGTCGTCGTCTGCGTTGTCGTCCGAAGACACATTGGTTTCTGGACAATAACTTTAGTTAAAGTGAATGGATCTCTATGAAATTTTTTAAGAAGGTTCAATACCACAAAAGAAAGGTTGGGATTGATTTTGGGGATGATGGTCCCAACCGTTTAGGAATTAGGGGCCCGAAACAAGCATTTTTCTAGTTTCAGGATAATAACTTGTGTATAAGTATTTCGATTGCTCCGAAATTGTACCACAATGTTTAATACCACAAGTAGAAGGTTGGGGTTCATTTTAGGGGTTATGGGGCCAACAGTTTAGGAATTAAGGGCCAAAAAGGGGCCAAAAACAGGCATTTTTCTAGTTTCCAGACAATAACTTGTGTGTAAATGTATGGATCTCTCAGACATTGTACCACAAGGTTTCAATATAACAAAGGGAAGGCTGGGATTGAGTTTGGGGTTAATTGCCCCAAACATGTAGGAATTAGAGGTCAAAAAGGGCCAAAAACAAGCATTTTTCTAGTTTCCAGACAATAACTTGTGTGTAAGTGTATGGATCTCTCTGAAATTGTACTACACGGTTCCATACTACAAAGGAAAGGCTGGGATTGAGTTTTGGGGTTATTGCTTCCAGGGGGTTTCAAAAAGTTGGGAGGGGGGGGGGGGGAATTGTTTTCCCAATTTTTTAAAGGGATTCATATTTTTTTTTCAAAATTTTTAAAAATTTGATAACAATCCAAAAAAAAAAGCCCCAACTGTTCAGGATTCGACCTCTGTGGTCGTATCAAGCTGCGCTCAGCGAAGCATTTTATTGGTTATTATCTTGAATATTATTATAGATAGAGATAAACTGTTAACAGCAATAACGTTCAGCAAAGTGAGATCTACAAATAAGTTAACATTACCAAAATCTTCAATTTACCCCTTAAGGAGTTATTGCCCTTTAAAGTAAATTTTTAACAATTTTCGTAAACTTTTGTAATCTTTTACAAAAATCTTCTCCTCTGAAACTTCTGAGAAAAATTTAACCAAACTTGGCCACAATCATCATTAGGGTATCTACTTTAAAAAATGTGTCCAATGACCCCGCCTGCTAACCAACATGGCCGACATGGCTAAAAATAGAACATAGGGGTAAAATGCAGTTTTTGGCTTCTATCTCTGAATTTAAAGCATTTAGAGCCAATCTGACAATAGGTGAAAATGCGCCTCAGGTTGAGATCTATCTGCCCTGAAATTTTCAGACGAATCAGACAACCCGTTGTTTGATTGCTGCCCTGAATTAGTAGTTTTAAGGACATTTTGCAGTTTTTGTTTATTATCTGGAATATTATTATAGATAAAGATAAACTGTAAACAGCAATAATGTTCCGCAAAGTAAGATCTACAAATAAGTTAAACATGACCAAAATTGTCAAATGACCCCTTAAGGAGTTATGCCCTTTAAAGTCTATGACGACCGTGCGAGGGCTGTATAGCCAGTCAAGGTAGTTAAAAACTCCAATCATCATTTAAAGTCTATATTTTTAACAATTTTTCGTAAATTTTTGTAACCTTTCACAAAAAATCTTCTCTGAAACTACTGAGACAAATTTACCCGACCTTGGCTACAATCATCGTTTGGGTATTTAGTTTGAAAAAAATGTCCGATTACCCCGCCTGTCAACCAACATGACTGACATGGCTAAAAATAGAACATAGGGTAAAATGCAGTTTTTGGCTTATATCTCTGAAACTAAAGCAAAAGTATAATGGTTGCATTATTTCATGCATCAATTGTAAACAAAAACATCAGGTGAGCGACACAGGCTCCTTGGAGCCTCTAGTTTGTCTATTACTTTGAAAACTGCTTTAGATAGAGTATATCTAACATGAGCATAAATTTTCAGACCTATTTATATTTCTACCTATTGTCCATTTACATTAAAACTGCCAAACAACTTCTTCGAGTTATTTAAATGAAGAATTTTACAATTTTTTTTTCGTTTTATGCCTTTTATCTTCAAAACTATAACAGATAGATAATTCTTTAAATAGTACAAATGATCAGCAATACAAGATCTACAAATATGTCATATGGTTTAAATCATTAGTTGACTCTTTATTGGAGTTATTGCCCTTTAAGGAAGATTTTTACCATTTTTTTTGCGTTAAGGCCTATTATTTTAAAACTATAATAGAAAGATTTCAACTTTAAAAGAAAAAGTGATCAGCAAAATAAGATATACAAATAAGTCAATTTGCTGAATTCGTCAGTTGGCTCCTTTTAAGAGTTATTTCCCTTACATGATGACTTTCCCCGTCTTTTTTTTAACATTTTTTGCCTATAATCTTGAACACTACAATAGATAGAAGTTTATATGCAAAACAGATCAACAGAACAAGATATGGAAATAGGTCCTTATAGATGAAATTATCTCTTGCCTTCTTATAGGAGTTATTGCCATAACATGACAATTACTACCATTTTTGTGTTTTGGGAAAAAAAAACTTTGGAAGATAAAGAGAATATGTAAATAAAAGGTGAAAAAATTAAGTAATACAAGATCAACAAAAAAGAGATTTTAGTCTTTTGATTTATATTCTAGTCTACAATGTTTGATAGTGTCCATACACCTTATCGCTATTTAGTCCAATCCGGAAAAAACAGTCATTTAGACAACTTCCTGTTTGGGTCAACAGGCCTTGAACGGGTAAACAACAAAGGTCATCAGTAACGAGCTGAGGGAGGGAAAAATTAAGAAAGCGATCGATACGAAACTTTGATAGATTATGATCCACTTTTTCGAAACTCAAATTATAGTAAAAAAATCTTTTGTTTGAAGTATTTACGATGTTTTAAACAGATCTCATTAAAAAAGTATCATGCATGGTGCATAGCTTAAACAGGGCCCCAGATAGCTTCAACTGGATGAAAAAGTTGTGTAATTTTAGAACTTATCCGGAATGGAATAAATAGCGATTAGGTGTATTGTTGAAGATGTACATAGACCTAAATGAGCAACGCAGGCTCTTTAGAGCTTCTAGTTTTGTGTGCAAATTGTATCTGCAGTTTCTTCTAAACCAGTAAAGAGATTTCAGTGAAACTAGAAATCTGTCAGAAACAACAGGTCAGTATTAAGCATCAGTACAGACTATTTGGAACCTCCAATCTTACGCCCATTGGTCTATAACAAATATTTGTTTTCCTCACATTTGTTGCTAAAACTAGTTTTAAGAAGGCAGCACTCCCATTTATAATCCCTTCCCCTTTTTAATCAATTTTAGTAGAATAACAACTCGATCCATTTGCAGAACGAATAATAATCAGAACTAAAATCTATGATATTGGTATTATATACAAACACTAACACGGGTTCTTTAGTGTTCGCATTTACTAATAGCAAAATACCATTAACAGTGCTGACAGACACGGATGTTGTACATAGAATTAAAATTGAGAATGGAAATGGGGAATGTGTCAAAGAGACAACAACTCGACCATAGAGCAGACAACATAGAGCTATTTACAGGAACATATTAGTTTAACTACAAGGGAATTGAAACTAATCACCCAAAACTACAGGATTCAATGATTTAACAACAGTAAAGAAATGAATATAGAAATAGAAATTCTTTATTAAACCAATCATGAGATTTAAATTTCATACAATGATTACAATGATTTGTTTTAATGACAATAAAATAATAAAATATAGCATTATAGAACAATGAATAGTCAGTATGTGCACATGAGAGAAATGTTAACAGGGGAGACAATCAATTAATATTGTAAGCAGTATACAAATAGTTATAAACTTTATGAACAACAAAAATAGAAGGGACAGTCAACCTCTTGGAGAAAAGAAAAGGACGAATAGACAAATAAATATTAAATAGTCCGCACAACATAACACATAATTCCAAAGATTTAGCAGCAGGTGCTCAAGAAAGTTAAGCAGCTTCTTCTCAACCAGGGTCATGTTAATTTTGTGTAAAATTCTGGTGATAAATGCATTCAGTGATAGGACATAAACCAGGAAATGCGGGAGGGATTGTGACATTGATATTTCATAATGGTAAACCATATCATGATAGCGCCCATGAAACATCTAGATCTAATCTTTACATGACTAAAACTTTTATACAATTAACCCTTGGTTTAAGAGCTTTTATTTAAGCAGCAATCATATATTAAGGAAAAACTTATAGGAAACACAAGCCCTGGAATATCGTAATGTAAACAATCTTAATATTTTATGAATTTGAGACCAACAATAATTGTCAAGCAAAAGTTAATATTAGTATTGGTGTATACTATATTACTTATGTTTTTTAATGTCATAAATGGAATTTTGTATTGATGACACATTTTTAACAGCCTCTGTTAAATTTAATAGGACGATTGACATAAGTCTATTGTTTAAGACCGTATGTTGACCTCCAAATTTAATGTCTTTTGGTTTATGTGTAGTTCGGTTTCTGTCTCATTGGCGTATTTCCCGCATCCACTTTTATGTAAACAAATAAGAAATGAAGTGTTCAAAATTGTTATACAAGTATAACGAAAAATATTAGTTAATAAGAAATATAACTTGCAGGGAGCACGAATTACGCAAAGATGGATTGATGGAAATTTTATTGCCAAACAAACATATAGTTATTATAAGATACACACACACAATAGTAAATCGATTTTGAACTGAAACGTTCATTTTGATCTGAACATGTCTTAAAAGACAAAATAATACATTTTACAAATAACAGTCAGTTCACTATACTATAGAACAGTAATTTTAAAGTAGTAATACGTTACTATAAAGGCAAAAAACAACGTGATAAAAAAATGACGTAAATACTGTATGTACTGAACAGCACTGAATTTACAACCATAACACATCTGAACTCTTATTTCATATGATGTTAAGATAAAATGACCGTTTAAGACTAACATTTGTTCACTAGTTACACAGCAAGAACATTTTAGGATTTTTAAGAATGTATGCACATGCAGTACAAACATATTCAAATTAGTCCCACATGACCTTAATCAACCAACAATCAATCAATCCAAAGTAGTCTATAATAGTTAAGGGTTATCTGATTTTTCAAAGAACCTAAAAAGTGTTGAAATACAAATTTTCTAAACGGCATTAAGTGCACTAATCTGTAGAACAGGACTGCGTTTCACAAAAACTGTTACGCCTAAAGTTGATCGTAAGTCATTTTTTGTGAAACGCAGTTCAGAAGTTTAAAAGAGTAAGAAGATACTATAGAGGCAACCAATTACCAACAGTCAAAGAAAGGATGCCAACACCATGGTAAAAAGAAATGATGTAAATACAAACAAAAGTATATTAAACAACACGCAAATCATAAGATTGAGCAACAAGAACGCCATAAAAAATCTCATGCAAGATCATGTGCTCTCTGCAAGGGTCAGCAGTTCCTGCTACCCTGTATCACCTCGTGTTACTCATGCACAAGTCCTTTGATGAGCTATTACCAGTGATAAAACGTTATATCGGATTGAAATCTTTTCTAACCGTAACACATTACCAAATGTATAAGACCATCGATATATGTTAATTCTCGAATTCTTATTTAGATACTATATATGATGCCGGACAAAGGTTGCCAGGTCCTATTGTATGTCTGAAAGACAAATTATTCTATAAATATGACAGTCATGATGAATACAAATGCATTGTTTGTTTGCATGCATGTAGTTTTTAGTTATTAATAAATTGTTCACGTTGGTGTAAAACTTAATTAACGATGAGGTTCATATTCATTTGGAAACTTAATAACTTCCTTTACGTTTAGGTAGCTTGATAAGAAGCTTCTTTGTTGCCTTAAAATCATACATCCTGATTAACGTCCAGCGACAAAATTTCTTGCATCTAGCAAATCAGTGATAAATCAAACAGATAGGTTCTGAAAAATTGATCGACTGGGATGATAGACGTGACATTTAGACTGCCACTTAGGAAAAAGGATATATAAAATTGTGGCAGAAATTTTGTCTCACAACAGGCCGCTTACGGCCCATGCGTTGCATGTGCTCTTTGACGTACAGAGAGCGTGTCACTCTCCATGCACGACGCTTTGGATTTAACGTCCTTATTTTGACAGACGTGACTGAGTATTTATATATTCTGTAGAGCGCCGTGGACGCCGCCTCATCAGAATGGGGTTTACTCTGACGTGAAAGCCTATGTAATACAATATTTCTATGCCTCAGTCGAGTCTTTAGGTTCATACTTTCTTTAAACAGTTTGCATAGTATTTTTATTTACCATATTCTGAAATTATAAAAGGTAACTCCAAAGATGGCACACCCTGACTGAGAGTATATATACTGAATTCCAATACAGATTTTGAGCAAATCGTACAGTAACTGTATTTTGTTTATCAAAATTTGAAAGGTTTTGAAGCTGATTTGATAGTCTCTATATGACGTCTGATTGACAATATGTCAATCAATATTAGTCCACCAACAACTACTGTCATAAAAACTATACCCAAGGCACCAACTTGAGAGGCAGAAGACCGGTTATCTTTCGCACTCATGTACTTCGATTTTGTTTTAGTCAATTTTGATACATCCACTGTAAGATTACGTTTGATTTCATCTAAAACAGGATTTAGTATGACACGTAGTTCAGCCATAGTATAGTTTGTTGCATTTTGAGATGCCCAATAGTCTAATTTTGCTTTAAACTCACAGGAACATGGACACATTGGTTTATCTGAAACAGAGTGATTAAGATATATATAGTTTATTACATTTTGAGATGCCTAATAGTCTCATTTTGCCTTAAACTCACAGAAACATGGACACATTGGTTTATCTGAAACGGAGTAATTAAGATATGTATAGTTTGTTACATTTTGAGATGCCTTATAGTCTAATTTGGCTTTAAACTCACAGAAACATGTGCACATTGGTTAATCTGTAACAGAAATATTAAGATATGTATAGCTTGTTACATTTCGAGATGCCTAATAGTCTAATTTGGCTTTAAACTCACAGGAATATGTACACATTGGTTCATCTGTAACAGAAAGATTAAAATATAGTATAGTTTGTTGTATTTGGGATATCTTATAGTCTTGTTTTGTTATAAACTCACAGGAACATGTACACATTGGTTCAACTTTTTTATAATTATATTATATTTCATATTGAGCAATATTCGTTATTTTCATAATCAATAGACTTAAATAGTGCTACTGTTCGGTGATATTTTTATTTGCTTTTTATTATATCAAATTTAGTATAACGTTACTGTTTCATTATAGGGCTTGTTGAATGAAGTTTGGGTGCTTTACAGGTCACCAACGTAGCCATGATTATATTCTGTTTCCTGGTATCGTTTTAGAGCTCACTTTGTTTTGCAAAATGTGTTTATTTTATACCACCTCGTAGCGAAACGGGTTTAAAAGCATGAACTGGCTCAGAGACTAAAATGTTCACATGAGCTTGTTTTTTTTTTATCTTTATGCACTATCAGCGTCGGTGTTATGTATATCTTTATTTCTTAACATACCAAATACACAGGTATAGAGATACATACAAATGTATGTTACATGATAATGCATATATACATCCATACAAAAGTTATATTGAAATAACCACAGAAGTTACATTAAAAGGGTAGTATTTATTACATAATCTACGTAGGAGAGCATGGACGCACACTTCATTAATCCAATAGATTTACACAAGTTGTTTAGATCAGAAAGGATTTTATTATTCATCAGTTCGATCATTACTTCAATAAATTTGGTCGGTTTCCAGGTGTGCTTCGCAATAACATATAGTCATGTATTACTAATTAAAAACTGTGTTTCCCTTTATCAGGAATAAAGTTTACATTGTTCAACGACTTAATATAATTTCTATATTTATACAATATTAAAGAGGATTTATTTAAAATAACAGGACGATGTTTGATGATTTCCAGATAAAAATGTTGTGCAGTAATTGATTATATGGAGCTAATATAATTGATTTCTAAAGGATTTTTGCTTAATATTCCTTTATCGGTTTGTACTTTAAATGGTCTTTGAAACATTTCATGTTCTACTATGATATGTAAACTCAAATATTTAAACTCATAAACAAACAATTTCTTTGCATAAAACCTTGAACTGGAAGTTGAATACGTTTATTACTGTACATAAATACATTAAATATGCCATTAATAGGGAAAGGGATAATTAACAGGGGAAATGGCTAGCATTTTAAATTGAAATACGTTTGTATGTTTAATGTATTAATATATTTTTCAAAGCAAAATTGATTGAAGATTCATCAATAACTAATGACTTTGAATATATATATATACAATATACCACAATCAGTAATCCTTATTTTATTACGCATTACATTTTCCCAGCAGTTTCTTATGAATCTTTTATTCCAGTGATAAACGAATTTCACACGTCAATTTACTTTTAACACATTTATGTCTGAACATTCCAAATGAAGATATTCCAGATAATAGCGTTGGAAGAACGAAAAATCTTCTATGTTATATTAATGCAGAACGATATTTTTTTTAAGAGACTGGCTAACAAAGCATGCCAAAAGAAAAAAGAGACAAAGCTTTTAAAACTAACATCGTTAAATGGAAAACATAGTTTACAATTTTGCAGCCCATACTTATATACTGAATACAATCATGTAATGGTAAAAATATTTTAAAAGATAAGTAAAGACACACAAAACGTATATGTTAATTTTTGATAAAAAGCACCCTTGTACTTACATGAGCAACGCGACGGGTGCCATATGTGCAGCAAGACCTGTTTACCCTCCGGAGCACCTGAGATCATCCGGGGTTTATGATGGGGTTCGTGTTGCTCAGTCATTAGTTTTTCTGTCTTGTGTTTTGTTTACTGTCTTTTAGTCGTTTTTCGCTACTTGCCATCGCATTGTCAGCTCGTTTTCGATTAATGAGTCTGATTATCACTTTGATATCTTTCGCCTCTCTTTCGTAAATTGACGAACTATTCAAAATTTCAAGATATTATGAAGAACAACCACCCACCTGAACTAAACAAGTTGTTAGATTTATAATAATAGTTAATAAATGCCTAGAATCTCATGGGTAACCATTTAATGTCCCAACTTGCATTTGTATTTATATTTTTTATACTATGCGTGTTAATTCATTTGAACATGTTTCTGTACCATTGTATTTTGGTTTATGAGAATATATATTTATGATATAAGCAATTTGATCACTTTGAATACTTTTTAGATGTAACAGAAAGCAAGAATTAAAGTGAACTGTATAGTTGAGACTGAAATAAAGGTCTAAACTATTTTACCATTCGACACTCATTACTTATTTTTTTATTTATTCATCGATTGTAATTTAAAGTAATCCAAACCACGTCCACGTCTTTTTGTATAGTTTTTATTCCAAATAGTCACAAAAAAAAACTTTTATACAATCTCTCCCTTAAAATTGAATACATTATACATCTTATAAATTACAAAATAATCAAATTTTAGACATGCATACTTACTTTTTATAACATCAAGGAAAATAGATGAACTTGAAGTTGTTCCTAACAAATTTGTTGCAGTACAAATATATTCACCAATGTCATTTGGTGTTGTTGATGGAAAAGTCAGTGATGGCGAATTTATATCCCTGCCCAGTATATTACTGGTAAAACTGCCATTTTGCTTTTTCTTCCAGTCAACAAAAATCACATTCGGTACACCACTGGCTTCACAGAAAAGCGTAGTACTTTCGGATGCATTCACCCGGACAACAGTCTGATTTATCATTATATTAGGTAATCCTTCAATTGAAATCATAAATGGTAATTATATGGCAAGAGTGTTAACTTTTTTTCGGCTGAGCACTTTAAACACACCATTCGACTTCGAAAAAACGGCTTATTTCCGTATGAAAAATATTAAAAGTATATTTAGCCTCTCTAGTATAAGCAGATATGGGGTATAATTGCCATGTGGATAATTATCCATCAGAGACCAAAAGACTTGTATATTATATAAGCAACTATGAATCACCGTACAGCCTTCAACAAGGCATACCGTATAGTAATCTATAAAAACCTTAAGAAATTGAGTGCACACAATTGTCAAACTTGAGAATATATATACTTCTATCTCAAATGAATGACTTTACATACCATTTTTTTTAGTGCGCGATTTATCAACATGAGGCCTATTTTGTAACTGATAAATGTTACAGCTGTGTGCAGCATGTTAGTGTCTTTTTTGTTAAGACATTATTTCGACGCTAATATTGTACGAACATCCTGAAGTGAGGATCAAGTAAAAATCCTTATCAAAACAGATTATACACACGTACGCAAACAATTTTCATAGGACAAAACATCATACTGAACACGATATAAGATTGCCTTAGTACATTATACTTACTGAGGAGTTATCAAAGAGAGGCTCGATCACTATATTCGTATGCGATTCTTATTTGATAAACGTAAAATGCATTCATAGTCGTTGTGGATGACATCGCATTGTTATTATCAAAGTTATTAAATATTGCTCTGACAGAGTTAAGCGAAAAGCGACTGAAATCGACACTACATAAGTTTTCTGGTCAGTCACCATCACAAATTGGTTGACGGATACGATGTGCATGTTTCTCGACTCACTAACGATATCCGATTGCGACAATTTTGCTTAGTGGATTCACATGTCAGGTGATGCATGCGAAGCTTGCCTTCGATTTTTGTTTATAATCTTCATTTCATTTTCTTAAAAGTATTTATGAGATTAAAACATCGGTAAACTACCATTGCCTCTAATTCCCCCCCCCCCCCCCCCCCATTTTCCAGGAAAAGACCTTATATGTTAAGATAGTAGTTACCTCCGAGTTAACAGCTATTACAACCATGCTTCAAGGTAAGCTAATAATTGGAGACTATCCAATCTATATTACAGTAAGCTTTCAACCAGACACTGCCAAAACTATTTAATCATGAGATGTTTACCACAAGCTATCACTGCTATAAACGAGTAAGCTGTTAAATGATGGATCAAAAACGATCTCATCTAAACAAAAATCATAAATACAACTTACCTCCTATAACGACTAAAGAAGTTTCCGAACTCCTACCAGACGAATCTATGGTTCCCCCTTGACAACAGTAATTTCCAGCATCGGAAAAATCTACATCTAATATCAATAGTGATGGCCAAGTTGTGTTTGATCCAATATATTTTGAATTGTTACCCAAGTCAACACAGACAGCTGTCCCATTTATTTCTCTTTCCCATGAAACATTTTTCAGGTCTGGCTTAGACCATATAGTACACTGTAACGTCACCTGTTCGCCATAAACTACTGTATAAGTAGGACTGGAAATTTCTGCCTGAACTGTAAACGAATAATCATGTTTCTTTTTTGTCATTCAATCTCTCATTTTATTGACACATTACTTTAACTTGACTTTTAAGTAATTTATTCCCCCTTTTTTGGCATTAACTGTTAAACTGGTCAGAAATTTTACTACTTCCAGAGATTTTTAATCCATTCATCAATGCTGCAGTGCATAGACATTGGAAGGCCGTACGGTGTCCTATAGTTGCTAAACTTCTACGTCCTTGGTCTCTGGTGGAGAGTTGCCTCATAGACAGTCATACCATATCTTCTTTTTTATATAATAATCATATAGGCTTAATATAATAGATTGATTGATTGATTGTTGGTTGCTTAACGTCCTGTGGCAAATATTTCATGCATGTTCAGAACGAGAACAAATAATAAATACAATAGGTAGGTCCTGAAATAGAGGCCGTCCGGGATGATGGTCGGGGAAATTTGGACTGCAACTGGAAAATGAGGATATATTGGACAGAGACAGCAATTTAGTCTTGCAACAGGCTACCTACGGACTCCTCAAAGAATTGTTGCAAGAGGTTTTAACGTTCAAAGAGCGTTGCACTCTCTTTACACGATGCATCGGATTTAATGTCCCCATTCTGACTGGACGTGGCTGTGAACTTGTACATCCCGCACAGCCAAACGGCGAGGCGAGGGTTTTACTACCGATCGGAGGAAGACCAAAGGTGACCATATTTCTATTCCCCAGTCACCCTTACGAGGGTTAATATAATAGAAAAGCAAAGGATACGGGTTTCCATCCATAATACAAAATCAGTACATGTACAGCAAAAAAAAAAAAAAAAAAAAACACACACAAAAAGCAAAGCAACAGCGCTTTTATTGCTGTTCTTCATCTCAAAGTCACAGTGAGGCTTTCAACACGGAGCTAACATCTGAGCGGTAAATTTCTACTAAACGGAAAAAGACTGTTAGTTTATGAGGATACTAGTAGCTTGTGCTTCGATTTTATAATCACTTCAATAATACCATTTTAGAACTAGTCTTTGACCATTAATTATACCAAAGCTAAGATTGCAATTTCTCAGAGGCTAAAAAGATTCTGTCTGTTGTACAAAAGGCTCTTTATCGTTTTTTTTCATTTTTATTCAAAATGTATTGAGTTATTCTCGGAATTGTGCATTGAAATCGGAATCTAATTTGTAAATAACTACGATTGGATAATTGCAGATACTGGTGAACTGTGAGTCACCAAGGTCAACAGTCAGTGCAGAATAAACTTGCTGAAGGCAAATTTTTAAAAACGTACATGGTAACTTTTTGATAAAATCAATGACATCAAGTTTGACAGTATTTCAAAACATACCGCCTATCACATCAATCGTTATTATATCTCCCACAGTTGTTCCCACAGGGTTTGTTGCTTCACATGTAAAATTGCCTACATCTTGAAAGTTAACGCTGTGAATATACAGGTCCGGTGTCATTACAGTAGCTGCACTGTAATGTGTCGATACTGCGTCATTGTATAGAAAGGTTCCTCTGCTATTGTTCATTTCCCACTGGATCGACGTCACCTCTGGCAGTCCACGAAACGAACAATTCAAAACAACTGAGTCACTATACTTAGTAATATATAGAAGCTGTGGTGTAATAACTATTGGAAAATCTGAAGTACAAAATAGCATTTAACAAATAATGACTTATAAAAGAAGCTACACTATATGACATCTTTACGGCCAGTTGATATTTGCAGGTAATCATTTTCGGAGCATTATGACCCTATTTTGCTCACTCTTCTACATAAAGCAAGTTTTGAAATGAATGTGCAAAGTCATTAAAGATACAAGGGTTTGATTTAGTACGCTTGCAAAAACTCAATAATAGACTCTAATCTAAACAGTTGAATGGTCATCTCAATCCAGAAGATGAAAAACCCTGAAAAACAAACATTCAAAAACGTTTTGTCAAATCTGATTATAACTATCTATGCCTGGGGATAACAAAACCTTAGTGTTAACATTTAATGAATAATAAATGGACAGAAAATAATCAATACTATTTCATGTCAGTCCTGGAGTACATTGGTAAACTGTTGTCACCTCTTATTTTTTCTTTATATGTTAATGGGAATTGTATTGAAAACTTAAACCCTATTGTCATACAAGTGAGAGGTTTAGCTAGCTTTTAAACCAGGTTTTATCCGCCATTTTCTACATAAGGAGATGACTGTACCAAGTCAGGAATATGACCGTTATTTTCCATTCCTTTGATGTGTTAGAGCTTTTGATTTTGCCATTTGTTAAGGGACTTTCCGTTATGAATTTTCCTTGGAGTTCGGTATTTTTGTTATTTTACTTTTTATCATTTCAATTATAAATTGTAGAAAAAGAAAATAACGCTTTTATTTATTGATTGTGTGCATCCGAAGCACTTTGCTTGATTTACCTTTATGATTGCTCAATTATTGCATGACTAATTATGAATATTGTTCCTATACGTTTAAAATATTGTACGAACTTTCGAGTGGAATATATATATTCTTTAATGAATTATAGTCACCAATATTCACGAAATAATCACTTTATCATGTTAATGTATATTACAGCTTGAAAATCTGTTTTAGACACATTTTTGTCACAGATAGTGTCATTAAACTGAAGCTTTTATTTGCTTTTACTAGTGCATTATGATAAACTAGTATTATAAAAAGCAACTTTTGAATAGTTTTTTATGAAATATGCTGCTATTCCAAACAGTTATTTTTGTTGAACACTGGGTAATTAACTGCAAACATTCTTAGGTATAGTATCATTTAGTATTGTTTGACTTGTGCCTGCGTTTAGCTTGTGCGTAATACTAAAATGGTTAAATTATGTGATTTTCCGACCTCTTCTTCTACATCCATATTGTGGTTCAATTGATGTAGATTAGAACGGGAGTAGCTGAACCTGGCCAGTCGTTTTTCAAAGGTATATCCTCCTTTTAGAGAATTTGATGATGATGACAGAACTTTGGTAGTGTCGGGGATTTTAATTCACAACTGGTTTGTATTTCAGTTGTTGTCTTTGAGTAGTAATATTTATATCATACTTTTTCCTTTCTTTAAGGAATTTGGTTTTGCATTGAAATTTATCTTTCGTTGTCCCTGTTTAATTCACAATTCACTGCTTGTCTATAGACATTTGGTTATTTAGAGCTTGTCATGTTGTGTAGACACTTGCTTATTGTTGAATACTATATGTTCATCTCGTTTATTGGTTTTTGTCTTGTTAAGTTGCTCTTTCTTTAACATGTTTCCTCCCTCATTTTTTTCACACTTGCCAGAAATCTGTATACCTACCAGAAATGGTGAAACTGATCGATGAGCCCATTCCAACTCCTTTAAAGTTGGTAACATGGCATGAGTAAGAACCCATATCCGATTCACCCACATTGGCTATTATCAAAGAGGTTGAAGATATTGTCGATCCTGTATATTTATTGACATTTGTTGAGGTATCAATGACTTTGACAGTTGTACCATTGTTGAATTCCCACTCTACATTTAGAATTGGTAAGATTGAACAGTATGGGCATTCAAATGTAACAGCAGCGTGGTACGGCGACGACAATTTGGAAAAATTTCTATACACATATGGCGCTGATGCATCTACAATAAAAAAAAGGCAACTTAACTTAAAGTATTTTACCACCTCAAATAAAATATGTTGAAATATTTGCACGATTAATTTTATTGACGATGATAACAAAATACAAAATAGGATTTTTTCAGTTAAAATATATTTGGCATTGTTAATATTGTTGACTTCAATTACCTCAAATATGACTAACAACGGGATAAAATGTCGATGGATTGAAATGTTTTTTAACGTTCTTGCACTTTACATTTGTATAGAAACTACAACAATAAATCTAATTGAAACTTTGGATATTTGCTTTTATCGGCATATATAAAGTACATAAAAATGTATCAATGTTTCAGTAGGTTGCGTTAACGAGTTATTACGACTTGTGCAATTTATTTACTTTGGTTACGAAATGAGCTTTACTGGTTAGCGAGTATCTGAATATTAGGAGGCTACGTATCTCTTTAATCTAAATAATTGCTCCATTATGCGTGAGATATCTTAACTTCCTTGTTCAGGTGGTTTTTTGGTACGCAAGATATTCTTGAAAGTAGAAAACAGATCTAAAAAATGTTATAACATTTTATTTAAAAAATATGAAAATAACACTTTTTATATTTAGTGCATTTCTGGATTTACTTTCACATGTTTCATCAGGATCATTTAAACTAAAAAAGTTAAAGGTCAAGGATGTATAAGTACTTGAATGCATTGGGAACTTTATGAACTAAAGGGATTTAAGAAGGTCAAATTTCCCTGAATACATAACTTATTGATATATAAAGATTTTGTCATCATTTCTTTTTATTACTAAAACATTCCTTAAACGCCATCACAAGTTGTGACATCATCGAATGAGACTTATCACCGAATTTGTTTTTACTATTAGCAATATGAGGGATCAAACTTACCCTTCCGGAGAACCTGAGATCATCCCCGTTTTTAGTGTGTCATGGTATTTGTTTGTTTGTTAAAAGTATTCTTAAATTTAACGGTTTTTAATTCTAATCAGATATTCTCTAAAGCATTGTAAAGTACAGACATTTATTTAATAAAGTAATAGATTTGTCATACCTGAACAAAGATAGTCATAGATGTTATCACATCCAATTGTACGTAGCTTGAAGCCTGGTCTTTCTAGCCTTATACATCGGTCTCTTTCTTGATTATTTGGTTCACCTGATTCCCATGTCGCAAAAGAAGGAACATCACAGCTTGTCCAGCGATACACATACGGAGTGGAGGTCATATCGTACTTCATGCCCACCCAGATGTCATTGGCAATATTATTGCCCCTAAGAAAGTACACATGTTTACAAAAATGCACGTAATAGCAAATCAAGAAGATATGGATAATTTGGCGTCCAAAATTTGTAAATTTAACCGATGTAGTAACATTATCAAGATACACCGTTTACTAATATAACTATTTCTTTTGGGTTTTTATGGGTGTATGTACAAGGAAAGGGGGGACGGCAGAGGAAACGTACCCGACAAAGGTGGCTTCAGAACGCTTAACATGCGTACAGACATGAGTATACGCTTATCTTAGTTTGATATTATTCACTGTTGTCGTCGTTTCATTTATTCTAAAATTGTATGTCCTGTATAATCTTCAGTACATTTTTCATTTGAAATTACATTTATATTTTTGTGCAAATGGCAAAAAGAGGAGGAACGCAAAAAGGTAACTTATGAATATTCAAGTTAAGATTTCTAATCACTACAAATTACACAATACATTCAGTACCATGCGGTTTTAAAAAAAAACTTGTACCTCAATTTATTCCGATATTGAATCCATCTATATATTAAACTCCAAATAACTTCAGTTGATGTCACCAGACTAATTAAAGGTACTATAACGATAAATATTTTAAATATTTAAGGAATGACTGTAATATTTTTTCTGTCTATGAAGAAATAACATCAAAAATGTGGTGCACATTGAATAACCCGCGTAGCGTGTTGTTTTAAAGTGTGCACCACATTTTTTATGTTATTTTGAATAGACAGAAAAAATATTACAGTCATTTCTTATAATTTAATTCTAAATTCCATTTTAAACTGTAGTAAACCATGAAAAAACGTTGATGACGTCACGGTCACATGACTAAATTATGTCTATGAGCTGATAAACAAAACAACGTCAGCCAATCAGAAGACGCGTTACATCCAAAATTAAATTATTACTAGATATCAAAGAGCGACGGAAGATACCAAAAGGGATATTCAAACTCAGCAGTCGAAAACGAACTGACAAACTCCATGGCAAAAACGAGAAAAGACCAATTCACAAACAACGTCTACAAAACACAAAATAGAAACTAAAAACTGTGCAACAGTAACCCCCCAAAATCGGGGTGATCTCAGGTGCTCCAAAAGAAGGATGAGCAGATTCTGCAACACATGTGGTATCCATCATGTAGTACAAATTTTGTGATAAGTTTAATTCGGTAGTCACATATGAAAAAAAGAGGACGCGATTGGGGTTACGACAATTAGAACATATCCGTCGTCATTTGTGAAGCAGCTGTTTCATGACAGTCGACCAACTTGTGATTGCGTCCTTAAATTTTGTCGAAGGGATGACTTCAACATCACCACTTAGAACCCTTGGTTTAATAGCTTCCTTGTAAGCAGTAACCCTCTATAAAGGAAATCCTGAAAATGCAAGGTCTGGAATATCGGATCAATTGGGATATGATACTCCATATACATGCGATGTCGGAATGTTGCTTCATAGAAATGAAAAGTTTACAATTGGGAAGCTGAAATCATCTCTTTACTTGTAGCGTTTTTGTTTTAAACCGACCCTCATTGTTAAGTTCTAGATGTAAGTTCAGATATGAGGCAAAATTTAACTGTATCTGTTGTATTGTTTAGTTTTATATCGAAATTAAATAACTAAATATACAGATGTATTCAATATAAAAGCGATATTCAATTATCACAGGTTGTTAAATTTGCTTAGTATTTTTCTTATGGTAAACAGTATCTTTGTGTAAACAGAAAAGTTCAGATGACATATTTTCGATTTAGCAAGCAACAGCTCAAATATGAGTCCGCCTACGGTATTGAAAATATTGACTTCTGTTAACATAAGACGTTTTCAAGCTTTTTGTTCGCTTCAGAATCGAATTAAATTTGACCAAAAGAATCTTTTAAGGTGAAAAATGTGAGTATTTTGTATACTATTTATACTATTTACGAAATCACAAATATTTATTGGAAAGGGGAAACATTTTCCGTTAAGACCTTTGAAAATCATAAAATATCCGAAGTAAATGTCGCGTTTCTTAACATATTGCAGGATAGGCCAAACAAATTGACGCATTTGTCGTATCACATATTAATATCACATGTCCAGTGAGATATGAGAAATATCTCTCGATGTGGGAACTAGGTAATAGATCACAACTCAAATACAATATTTAACATCCTTTGCCCTTAGTTTTTTGGTGGATAGATATTGCTAATCATACCAAATTTCAATTGGGTAGATCTATTTAATCAGTGGTTATAAAAAAATCTTGTTGGTCTGTGATATCTGCCAAGGAAGATACAAGTTGAAAGAAATTCAGGATTTATCATCTTAACATTATCTGAAGAGAAAATGTAAAGTATTGTATTCACTTGTGATAAATTCTTCTCCATTGTTTGTAAGTCCGAGATCCATAATCTACTTCTCTTTTTATTGTTTTATTTTTAAATTGATGAAAGGAACAAATGTTTGCAGGAATGGGTTTTGAAGATCTTTAAAAACAAATCCTCAATTCTTCTCATTCGAAAAAAAAACCAAGACGGATTCTCATTGTCTGAACCTAAACATAGCCAAATTTTGTCAATCTATATCATAATTAACAAAAGGGAGACCATATTAACATTGTTTTTTTTTCAACTGATCGAGTGAAATACATGGCGATGCGATGATGTATCAGATCTTCTCATTTAAAACTTTTTAAATTTGATTAAAAAAACATGGAGATAATATCAAATGATTATGCCTGCCTAGGTATCTTCCAACAGGTTAAATTTAGTTTTTGAAAAAATGCTAGATATGTATTCAATAAACTAGTCCCTCATCAAGTTAAGTGGCAGCTAATCGAATCTTGATTATTATTGATACATGTCAAAAACATCATTAATGAAACTGATATTTTTAAATGTTGTTAAAATATAAGCTCATCTCATTATGTTATTTCGATATAGTGGTAAACAGTGATAAAAAGAAAGCATAAGCAAGATATGTAATACTTAATAAGAGTATTGTAACAAACTTTGCAAATGACAATCTTAGTTAAGCTGCTATCAATACAACAATTACGTTTCTAGTCTTTTCATTTGTATTCTTACGATTCATTGTTCATGTAGGCGACAGCATTATCAAGGTCTGATTGGGATTCTAACTTTGCAAGCTGCATACCTCGTTCTTCACACTTTAGTTTGGCTTGAAGCCAAGTAAATGTAGGTACTCCGTTACTGTAGTAATATCCACCTGATAACAAAACAACTTTTACATATAAGAAAAATCATGAATTTCAGATGTCATAATATTCATTATTTTATTCAAAACATGAAACAGTGTTTATTTGATAGGGTTTTGAATAAAAATTAGTAGAACATAGTTGATTGTGAGAAGCCATTAGTTCTATGACATCAGCCTAGACCATAAAGGATGTTTTTAGTAACTGATATTCTACGATCCCTACTACTCTGTACGATGGCAGTGTGTTTTCAGGTCAATGCATCCACTCGTTATTCTGTCCGTCCGTTCCTCCGGCCCCTATCAAGTTAACATTTTTCGTAAAGATAGCTGACAATGGATTTTTAAACATAACAAATTCAATTACAGTTTAAACTTGGATTTTGCGATTAAAAAAACCATGGGAATATGATAGTGCAAGCGGGAATGGTGTTGTTTACATATGTTTGAATGCTTCAATGCCGAACCAATATTAATGAATGGCTTTATGAAATGATTATTAATGGAAGTTATCATTTGTTCATGTTTGCCCC